ACCTTAGTCTGCCATCAAAACCATCACCTTAGTCTGACATCAAAACCATCACCTTAGTCTGCCATCAAAACGATCACTTTAGTCTGCCATTAAAACCATCACCGTAGTCTGACAACAAAACCATCACCTTAGTCTGCCATCAAAACCATCACCTTAGTCTGACATCAAAACCATCATCTTAGTCTGACATCAAAACCATCACCTTAGTCTGCCATCAAAACCATCAACTTAGTCTGACATCAAAACCATCATCTTAGTCTGACATCAAAACCATCACCTTAGTCTGCCATCAAAACCATCACATTAGTCTGACAGCAAAACATCACCTTAGTCTGACATCAAAACCATCACCTTAGTCTGACATCAAAACCATCACCTTAGTCTGACATCAAAACCATCACCTTAGTCTGACATCAAAACCATCACCTTAGTCTGACATCAAAACCATCAACTTAGTCTGACAACAAAACCATCACCTTAGTCTGACATCAAAACCATCCCCTTAGTCTGACATCAAAACCATCAACTTAGTCTGCAGATCAAAACCATCACCTTAGTCCGACAGCAAAACCATCACTTTAGTCTGCCATTAAAACCATTACTTTAGTCTGCCATCAAAACCATCACTTTAGTCTGCCATCAAAACCATCACTTTAGTTTGACATCAAAACCATCACTTTAGTCTGCCATCAAAACCATCACCTTAGTCTACCATCAAAACCATCACTTTAGTGTTTGACATCAAAACCATCACCTTAATCTGCCATCAAAACCATTACTTTAGTCTGACATCAAAACCATCACCTTAGTCTGCCATCAAAACCATCACCTTAGTCTGCCATCAAAACCATCACTTTAGTGTTTGACATCAAAACCATCACCTTAATCTGCCATCAAAACATCACCTTAGTCTGACATCAAAACCATCACCTTAGTCTGCCATCAAAACCATCACCTTAGTCTGCCATCAAAACCATCACTTTAGTCTGCCATCAAAACCATCACCTTAGTCTGACATCAAAACCATCACTTTAGTCTGCCATCAAAACCATCACTTTAGTTTGACATCAAAACCATCACCTTAGTCTGCCATCAAAACCATCACTTTAGTCCGCAATCAAAACGATCACTTTAGTCTGCCATTAAAACCATCACCGTAGTCTGACAACAAAACCATTACTTTAGTCTGCCATCAAAACCATTACTTTAGTCTGCCATCAAAACCATCACTTTAGTTTGACATCAAAACCATCACCTTAGTCTGCCATCAAAACCATCACCTTAGTCTGCCATCAAAACCATCACTTTAGTCTGCCATCAAAACCATCACCTTAGTCTGACATCAAAACCATCACCTTAGTCTGCCATCAAAACCATTACTTTAGTCTGCAGATCATCGGAAACTTTGTTTTATCGCTGACATTGGTCAACAAGTTTTGTAGACATGTTGGCCTGAATATTCTATCCGTATTGACCATGATAAGTCCGTTGGCGCGATTCAAGCTCATAAAGGGTCAGCTAGTTCGCTTTCACCAGACGTAAAAGACCCGGAAAAGAGGGGATAAGGAAGGAGAGAAACGTATTCCAGACTGTTTCACTAATTTTAAAAGCCACAAAGTAAGTCGAAAATAATCAGATGCAAGAATTTCTCAAATGACTTCAATACATTTTTTACTAGAAAAAAAAAACTTAATCAATGTTGAGGTTTTTAATATAATGCGTGCATTTGATTAAACATCTATAAATAAGCTCTGACTTTTTTATCATCAAAAACTATCTGTAGTATTATAGTTTTGTTGATGTGTATATATAAAACTTTCATTTACATAAACCCCTCTTCCTCTAGGTCCTATCGCCATGAAATACCTATTCTGCTAATTAGATGCCCCAGATTTTTTAACATATTCACACAGCTTTTTTTAATGATCTAGTTATTCAGGAAATAGACGAGAAAAGCACAGCCATTGCACACATGTATGTAACCGCAATGGATTTGTAGGCATACACATAATTTCCAGTCCGTCATTCAAACAAGCACCTGCTGTCTGTCTTCAATCTTTTGAAGTTCTTAAAAGAATTTGAACTCGTGCCTAAATACATTGGTGGTGCTAAGCTTTGAAGACGTGCAGTCTTCCATCATTAGAAGATGAAGCTTATTACGTTGTTACTATATTTAAAAAGTCTGGATGTAGCGATGCATAGAAGTGATATATCCAGATTACGTAGTATGATAAAAAAAAGGAGCGAATGTAGTCGTTATTTTCTTATTCTTTATCATTGCAAAATAAAGTGAGAAAAAAAAACTCAAATCTCAAAAAAAAATCCCAGAACGTTAATTATTTAATGTGAATTCATGTCCTGATTAAGTCATCGTCATCGCCAGCCATGTATTCGTCCAGCTCAGAGAAAGGTTCTGTGGACATTGCCGTCATTAATAAACCAGAGTTCTATATCTACAGCATCTGTTAAAGACATTTCAGAAAAGGGCGATTTTTCTTTTCTTTTGAAAAAAATAAGAAAACTACATATTTCAAATTATTTAGGTGCGATTGCCATAAAGGTCAATGTCACCCTGAGCTGCTTCCAGCTCATCGAAATATTGCATTGGTCGTAAATAATTGTTGACATTGGTCAACAAGTTTTGTCAATATGTCAGCCGCTACATCCTCAGACGGAAGTTGTGCATCCATACTGACCTTTACGGTTGACTAGGTTTGTAAGAGATCAAAGAGAGACTGCTGGATTTCTGACACCAGGTGCAGAAGAGCTGAAAAAACGAACTTGTTAAAAAAAGGTAGAGAAGCACTGAATCGGAAAGTCACAAATACTGATTTAAAAGTAAGTCAGAGAGGGACATTTTGGAATTTCTTTAATGTCATCAATATAAAAACTCTTAGAAAAGTTATGGTAAGTATAAGCATGAAGGAGGAGGAGGACAACGCTGACGAGGAAGAAGAGGTGAAAAGGAGAAAGAAGATGCTACCATTTTTGCTACTAAAATTATAAGCTTTTCTGATAATGTTAAATAAAAAAATATATTGTTTGCTTTTATCTAACCAAGTTTTGAATTTCATTTCTTTAATAAAGATAAGCTCTGTCATCTGTTTATTTGATCTAACACAGTCTCTCGCATTATAGTTTTGGTGATATGTGATATACAGTAGCAGATTGTCCACTTCCTCTAGGTTCTAAAACCACGCAACCACCTTTTCTACTCGTTAGATAGCACAGACTTTTTAACATCTTAACACTTAGTTATTAACGATCAAGGTATTCAGGAAAAAGCCGAGAAGGTCACAGCCATTGCACACATGCATGTAACCGTAATGGTATGTAGAATACAAGGAATTTCAAAACCAGTCATTCAAACAGGCACCTGCTGTCTGTCTTCAATCTTTTGAAGTTCTAAAAAGAATTTGAATTCGGGCCTTAAATACATCGATGGTGCTAAGCTTTGAAGACATGCAGTCTTCCATCATTAGAAGTTGAGGCATACTTCAATTTTTTTTAAAAGGGCAATTTTGTTATAACTTAAGTAGGAGGTCTATTTTCACAGTTTTCTTTCCAGTCCAGAGACTAATATCTAATTCCCAATTCATCACTTGTGAGAGCCAATGGCGAGGAAAACTTGCCAATTTTTTTAACAACTTGTAATCAATGTTCAAAATATTTTGTTTTGTACGTGGTGTCTTGTGATTAAAAATGTAATATGTGTTTCATATCTTTAAACTTTTGTTTATATTGTACAATATTGTGTCTCTTATAATCAATATAATCTTGTCACAAGATATCAAGTATGTAATAAGATTTAGAATATAAAACACAAGTTTTACAATATCATTCATGTGATTTTTCGAGTGTAGATCATAAAATTTACAATGTAAAACATGAGATTTATAGCAACAGTTACAATATTAAGAATGTGAATGTTATGAATGTAAATCACAAGATGAAGGCCATGAATAGCAGAGTAAAGAATATGAATCACAGGTTGTGCAATATAAAACTCCCGGTATCCCGGTAGGCGGTAATAGTTACCCCTGACCCCACCTGCCCTGAGGGGACAACTTGCCCCGGTATCTACGTATGCGGTACAAGGTACCCCTGTCTCCACCTATACTGAGGGTACAACTTTCCCGGTATCTAGGTATGCGGTACCAGATAACCCTGTCCCCACCTGACCTGAGGGTACAACTTGCCCCGGTAACCAGGTAAGCGGTACCAGGCACCCCAGACCCCACCTGCCCTGACTTGCTTCGGTATCTAGGTATGCGGTACCAGATAACCCTGTCCCCACCTGCCCTGAGGGTACAACTTTCCCGGTATCTAGGTATGCGGTACCAGATAACCCTGTCCCCACCTGACCTGAGGGTACAACTTGCCCCGGTATCCAGGTAAGCGGTACCAGGCACCCCTGACCCCACCTGCCCTGAGGGTACAACTTGCCTCGGTATCTAGGTATGCGGTACCAGATAACCCTGTCCCCACCTGCCCTGAGGGTACAACTTTCCCGGTATCTAGGTATGCGGTACCAGATAACCCTGTCCCCACCTGACCTGAGGGTACAACTTGCCCCGGTATCTAGGTATGCGGTACCAGGTAGTGATGAGAATTAAAATTGCTTCATTTAATAATAACACAGTTATCTTTGAAATATCGTAAACTGATGATGATGATGATGATGATGATGATGATTACACTGAGATACAATATGCACGTGTCATGTTAAAAATGCAAAAATAAAGCAAATTTAAATAAAAAGATGTTGTAAAGTTGAGTATATAATTCAGATTGAATAATTTAGTGTATGTTGTTTAAATAATTGCTTTTATTTCTTAGTTATATAGTGATATTATTCCACTATGTTCCGGGGAAAAAAGATCGATTACGTGTTTATTTTAGTGATTTCTTACACTATGTACATCAAACGCTTCACTCTAACGACATCTGATGACTATATCACAAGCGTTGAGTTGATCGCGACTATACAGTAAACACCAATGAGCATTTTGTGTGCAAGTTTTAGAGTGTGTCGTTTCCTCCCCCGCCTTCATCGTAAGTAGCCTGCTTTTCCTGTTTTTCGAGTATTTGCCTGTTGAATTGAAGAAAGCGAATCTATCCTATATCGAGCGCTTCTCGAGCAATCACGTTGTTTGCTGTGGGCAAGTCGTCTGTAAAACAAACATTGGCATATTGTGACAAACTATGTCTATTCGCTTCACTTGGGCTATTCTGTCTTTCTTTCTACTGCTTTAGTGCTCTTATCCTTTTTGTGAAGCTGACATAAAAAGTGAGTCATATGAGGCACATTTAGAGATATGGTTGAACTTGAAAGACGGTTTAAAAAAGACGAAATACGGTCAGTTATAGTACTACTTTAACGCTACTGTTCCGACAACAAATTGACTAATAATCATCGAGTGTACAATATATGATAACCGGAAGGGATCAGTTGACAAAATTAAACAGATTGCCATGGTAACAATACTCTGTTACTATGGAATCAACATCAGTTGATCAGCATGTGCATGCAATAGGATGGCCAAAGGATAAGCGGGGATATCGATTTCCTATAATTACCTGCTGACACTGTACAGTAGATAATATTTGATTGAACATGAGATTAATGTATAATTTCTTTCTTGGATATGGGCTTTTACAATCTTGGGACAGACTTCAAAGCTGAGATTGAATGATTTATAGTTGATGTTTATCATACCAGTAATAGCATTTTTAATGGACGATACTCAAAAGGGAGAATAATCAAATCTCAGTAGTGAGATCAGGCTTGCATGTCAGTTTATCATGGATATATCACATAGAAAAAGTAAAATCGGCTCAGAATAAGATCTTGAGAGAATCAATGAAGAATTCAGAATATACACTGTAGGATCTGGTAACTGTGAAAGGAAATTGTTGTAGACTTCATTGCAAGATTGCCCCAAGGATTGTTCAAATTATCATAATTTTGTTTTGATTTACCTCCACAGATTTTTTACCTGTGAGAACCATGTCTTCTGAATCTTCTGACCCTCGACCTATAGTAATGAGTGGACCATCAGGAAGTGGAAAGAGTACACTCCTCAATAAATTGTTTGAAGAATATCCAGACAGTTTTGCCTTCAGTGTATCACGTAAGTACATGTATTAATTTTATTGCAAACATAGTTCATTTTAAATCAACAACTTGTGAAGGAGTAGGAGAGAACCAACATCCTGATTGTCTTTGGTCCTGGATTGGATCATGAAGGAATCAAAGATGGACACCCAATAGTATTCAATAGAGTCACATCAAGGGAGGTAAATACAAATGACATAGAGGATGGAGTATCAAGATCTGAATTCCATGGTTTTTATAATTGTATTGGCTAGCTAGACCTATGATAGTTTGTCTGGCTAGCCACAACATGTAAACCAATAATAAAAACCATGGAATCCAGATCTCCATGCTCCATCTTCTACGTTATTTGTATAGCTCATTTTAATTTCAGTGCAGCATCATTTTTTTGGCAAAATAACATAACAACGAACTTCAGCATCCACAATAATAACTATAGGTAAACTTCAAACAGAAACAACAACTATTTAAATTATATTTTAAGGCAATACTGACAAAGAGTCAAAATAAGACGACAGTTAAAATATATAACTCTACAGATTTCAAATCTTGTACATGTGTTCAAAAGAATGTAAAATCTCTGTCTTTGATTTCATAAAATAGTAACAGAGATGATCTTAAATTGTGTTCTGTTTTGAATTGTTTTATATAATATATTGTATTAATTTCCAGACACAACGCGAAACCCACGGCAAGGAGAAGTAGATGGAAAAGGTATAAACTATATCAATAATTCTAAAACAAAAAAATAAGCAGTCATACATATTGAAAGTATTGTAAACAGTGTGCATTACTGGTATAAAGATATGTTTGATAGTAAAGATGCTATATTACCATGACTTGGAAAAGGATATCTACATATGGTTTTTCTTTGATTTTCCTCAGATTATCATTTCGTAAACAAAGAAAACTTCCTGCAAATGATAGAACAGAATGAATTCTTGGAGCATGCTCAGTTCTCAGGGAACTGTTATGGAACAAGGTATGATTGTAAATACTATGGTAAGATTTCTTCAACTTTTTGTAATGAGATATAGTAGATTCAAAAGATTATTGATTATTGGAACTACAAAATTTGGTTTTGTGTACTTCATCGTGAATTTATAAACTTACATTTTTTACATGATATCAATAATCATGACAAATTCATATCCAAATTTGCACAGGAAATTTAATTCAGTAGAAAAATCAATGTATGAATTCCACAAATAATAGATTTATCATGCCTGTTTTAACATTGATGAAATTGTGTTTCCATAACACTTTTTTGCAAACAGTAGATTAAACATTGAATTAAATGATCATTTGAATTTGATCGAGAGCCATTTGCTAAAAAGATACAAGAAGATGACACAGTCTTGTTGTCAAACTTTTTCTTTGTAAATGAATGTCTCATGGTAGATTTTACAGTTTTGAACTGGGATTGTTAGATGGGAAAATAATAAAAGACTGACAAATTTCTCTACAGATCCGATGTGTAAATCTACCAATCCATGGTAAGCTAGTATAATTGTGCTCTTGTGAAGAATAAGTATAATGATACTTTATTGAATTCAGTTATGGAATGTCTTGCGGTTAACTTACTTAACTAATCGGTTTCAGTAAACGGTCAGTGTTGGACATTCAGGAAACAGGAAGGATTTGTATACTGGATGTGGAAATAAATGGTGTGAAAAGCATCAAGAAAACGGACCTGAATGCCAGATATGTGTTTATACAACCACCAGACATGAAAATCCTTGTAAGTAATATTATCAGCTGTTTCTTAATACATTTTGTGTTTTTGTAATATGGATAGAGAATTTCACCTGTTATAAACCTCAGGACTGATCTTTGGACATACAGTAGAGTAAGTATAACTTGTGATTTTGTTTTGAAGAAAGGAGAAACTGATAGTGTTTTAAACAAAATATTTTCTGATAGAGTGATAAAAAAAATTCTGTCGGTGTTTATAATGAAATCCTGTTTGATGTTTCGAAAATTCCTCAGTAATAATCAGCATTTAAAAGGCAAAGTTTGTGTATAGATATAGAAGCAAGTATGATGTTAAGCGTTATACTTGCAGAAGGCGAGGTTGGAAAATCGAGGCACAGAAACAGATGAGAGTTTAAAAAAGCGACTAGATTCAGCACAGGAGGCACTTGATTATGGTTTGTATATACAGGGTTTGAACTTAAACTGATATACAAATATTTCCATGATTTGGACTTTTAGAGTCCATTATAAGTTACCATGGATACTAGGATGGTAATTTCCTTTATGCCAGCGCACTGGGTGTCTAATGTTGGATATTGTTACTGACCACTGCTGACATTGTGACCGACCACATGTGGCATTGTGACCAATTACAGCTGACATTGTGACCAAAAACTGATGACATTGTATCTTAGAATTACTGACTTTATGACTGACCATGGCAGACATTGTGACTGACCATGGCAGACATTGTGACTGACCATGACTGATATTCAAAATGACCATTACTGACAATGAGAATGACCATGGCCGATACTGTGACCAACCATGGGTGTCATTGTGTCTGATCATGGCTTATAACAAATTTTGTTTGATTATAACCGACATTAATTGTGACTGACCATGACTGACATTATGTCTGACCTCGACTGAAATTGTAGCTAGCCATGACAGATGTTTTGACTGAACAAAACTGATGAAGAACTGACATCTCTTTTAAAAAATCTGCACTTTGCAGTGCATAGCTTTTGTTTAACATCAGAAATAATCTTTTCACATACTTTATTCTTTTGTAGTAATTGAATGTCATTTTCCTTTCAGCCAATGCAGGGGCATATGATTATGTGATAGTGAACGACGTCTTGGATAAAGCCTATGGGGAGCTAAAAGATATAGTGAAGGATGTGAGTGTCTGTATATCACATTAATAAAGTCATTCAATAGTTTCTATGGTAACTAGCAGATTTGGGTCAGTATCTGCAGTATAACAGTTGGTCAAAACAATTTTTTTGGTGACATAAATTGAGGCATATGACATTAATATATTAAAGTTGGTGTCAACAGGGCCACACTCTAATTTCTTTGTTGGAATATCTAGGTCTAGTTTCCAGTACAATGAGGACCACATAAGGTTTTGATTAATCTGTATTATTTATTTTGCTAATTTACAGGTTTTCATTTTTTTGTTTAATTGAACTATACAACATAAATGTGTTGTTTCATTGTATACTTGCAGGATGTTAAATAAATAAGTGAGGAAAGATGAAGAGCCGGGAAGATGATAAATATTTCAGTTTGGCTGAGATGAAAAATATTAAAGATGTAGCATTTCTTTTAATAAAATTATATTTCGAGGATTGAAGGCTGGCTGGTAAGAGTGCTGGTCAGTTTATTGGAATATTTGATATTTTCCCTATATTTTTAACCCTTGTTACAATTTTCTTGTTAAAATTTTGTTTAGAATTTTATTGGGTCTTATTATGTTTCAAAGTATAGAAAAAAGATTTTTTGAAATTAATTTGAATTTAAGCTACTCATTTGTATTTGATAGCAGAATCATTCTGTTGAAAATTTTCAACTGAATGGTCATTTTGTGATCAAGGTTATTTGATAATATACTTAGAATATGAACATTGTCAGTGAAAGTTAAAGTTCAAACTGTTTGATTTACAACATTTTCGATTGAATCTCAATCCCTCTACACCGGCACCTGTTTTCAGGGTAAAAATATGTTACAGACATTTTGAAACATTTGTGATATGAAAAGGAATTGGATCCTTATGATTTGGAGGTAATTTAATAAAACAAACATTTAGATTTGTTTTTGCTATTGGGCTGTTTCAATTAATGTGGTTGATGTAAATTAATTTTTAAGCATGAGGAGATTCAACATAGCTGATTTGGGATTTAATGTGTTTCCATCCTCTTAAGTTCGCATATTAGCATAAGATATATTTCTCATTGCTGTGTTTTAAAGCTCATCTTTTTTTATTCTTTATTTTATTTTCTTTATGGGAGGGGGAGATGGGATGGGCTATTTTATTGTTTTGGACAATCAGTTTTGTTACAAATTGGATTGCATTGTGGTCGTGAATATTTTACCATACTTTACGTGGCAGGTAGAGTTATTGATTCTCTTTCTCTTAATCTACGTGGAGACATTTCTTTATTTTCATGATATATCTTCATCAGCAACATATTCAACTCGATGTTCTAGTATATTTCAATTTTACAACGAGAGAACGGGAGTTTTCAATATTTTGTGCATTGATATATAATATACAATATAAGTGCTTTCTCAGGAACGTCTTTTGATTTTTTTAAACTTCAACATGTATGTTATCTTTTCACCACCATGAAAAATGATTGTGTTCAACAGATTTGGTGACAGGAAAAAACTGATATTTACAAAGATGCAATTTAATGACAAAAGCAACAGAGTTCTGAGCCAGAAATACATGGAAAATGTCGAAAATATTCTAATTACCCCCGCTAATACATACTTTAAAACTTCAGATGGTTTGGTCTTTTGTTTACATAATGCTCTAAATATTGTAGAAAAACACTTAAAAAATTAACTTCATGTATATATGATCACTCACATGAAAGTTCCAGATTCTTGAACATTTATTTATGATATATATGTGTCATTGTGTTTATAACCTCTTTCTTGTAATGTAATTTATTATTGAAAATTTCAGTATGCATTATCATTCTTTTAAAATGTTCCTTTTTTCTTTTTTTTTTCTTCATTTTTGAGAAACGTTTTCTTTCAAGAAAACCAGTGCTTTGTTATGGATGTGAAATGCTTGAATTTATATCAGTGGGATATAGAAGTTATATTACATGTATATAAGATATACAAATGCCTTTAGGGACAGATAGCCTTGGTGCCTTGTGTTTTGTAGAATCTTAGTAAGTTTATAGTCACCTCTCGCCTGTTAATCACTCAACACTTTGTATACTCAAAAAAATTGTTGCTTATAGTGATGGATTTCGTTGATTTCATGGGAACTCTTTAATTACAGATTCACATGTCCACAAACTGTCAAAATTAGAAGATGTAAACTTATTGTGCTATATGTATCTATTAGAGACTAAAAATGCATACGTAGGGCACATTTTCACCTGTGCATGACCCTAAATAAGTTATATTATGTAACAAAATGTCAAAACTGTAAAAAAAAAAAAATCTACAGAACAGACTAGATGCTATCTTTCCCTGAAGGTCCTATTACTATTGTCTCTAATGTCTGTAACAGATTTCAATATATGTTGTAGGTTGCCTTACATTCCCTTAGTAGACTTTGTAGCAAGGATATACTTCAAGTATATTCTTTCTCTCGTGTATTGCTTATCACTATACAACTAATGTCTAAGAGACATTTGTGGTTGGGTTATATGAATTTAATGTAATTTTGACGTCTCATATTTCCTTTAGAGTAAATTTAGCTGAAAATATTCTGCATAATAACAACACTTCATTAACATTCATTAACTCTCAATTTATTTGTGCAGTTTTGGTTTTTGTCTCGATAACCGTGACTTAGACAAAAAATAAAATTGCAGATAGTCAAAACCCATTGGAACACATTTGACATAGGATGGTGTTATGCAATATGATCATACTTTAAAATGGCAATTTTGAACATTATGTTCTTTTAAAATATGTATATGATAAATATAGATATCAATCATTTATAGATATGAATCATTTGTAAATATGAATATCAACTTTTCGTAATTTGCACATTTTGTGTGGAGTAATTCTGTCAAATTTTATTTGCATTTAGAAAATAAAATACCATGTGTATTGAGCCTTTCTTATGTATAACACCTTGTTATATTGTTAAAATAAATAGAAAAACAAACACAAGATAGGCTCGATCATTGATTTACCACCATTTAAGCAACCAAGTAAGGGAGACAAATCCATTGTTTTTCTGTTGTCATTGATGTCAAGGCTAGTGTTTTGAAAATGTGAAGAATTTATACAAATGTTATCCATTATAAAAACGGAAATTTTAAGTAAGTCCAGTTTTTGGATGAAGTTTTGTAGACTTTTCATGTTGCAAGGGTCACATGTCAAACATTAACAGGAAGACATATTTTTACAAAATTCACAGATTTTGGAATAAGTCTTCACTTTTAAGTATGATTTCACATTCTGTTTACACATTTCGTCGGTAGTTTCTTACTTGTCTCCCAGGATTTGATCCTCTCCACACCATCTTAACAACTTCGTAGAATAGCATGTTTGAATTTTCACCACGTTTCTCTATTTAAGTATGATTCTTGAGATCAATTCAAATTGATTTTATACGAAAGGCTTTGAGGAAAATTCTTTTCCTGTCATGTTTAGGGTTTTGCTTTAGGTTTCACTGTTCTTGTATGTTTATCAATGTCTCACTCAAGATTTCAGAAAAAATTTTATTGCAAGATTATCTTAAATGCATTTGATTTCACATCAATCTTTAATTGTTGTCCACCTTGCCTAATTGCCAATTAATAATTTTACTTTTGATTGTTCATTATCTTAAAAAAAATTTTTTCTCAGGATATTGGAATATTGCAAAACGGAATTCATCCAGGTAGTGTTTAGGACACTAAAATCATACAAAGAGAAAGCCTCCAGTATGTTATCTTATATGTAAACAATTCTCAATTATCCCACAAAACTATACAAATTTTATACTACTAACATATCTCACAAGGAGAAGTCTCTAGTATTTTGCAATAATTGTTTTGCAATTATTAGTTTCTGCGTTGTTTTCGCTTCTTGGGGCCAAACATCCGAGTTTAATGTCTAGATTGCTTTTGAAGTCTATGTGTTTATTTTATTGTTACATGGCACACTAGTATTAGAAATCTTTATATTTAATTCTACCAGCATGTATATCTGTTAAGTCTTACGTAGTTATTTATGTATTGATAGTGACTTTGATGATTTTGTTTAATAAACAAGGATCATTTAATGAATTTTTGTTGTTTGTTTATTGTCGAGTCTGCAAATAGTTTTTTTATTGAAACTTTACTAGGCAAATATCTATCTGAAAATCTGTCCTTTATTATTGTCAAGACCATAACAAATGAATACTATAGATCACTTGTATTTCACGTCAGATTTATTTTCGCATTAGTAAGTGAGGAGAGTCAAGCACCAATTCAAATCCCTTGTGATTATTTGTACAAAAATTATTTTCATGCTATCACTGCTGTTTCTGTCACCAATACCAGATGTCTATATACAGCCTGCCGTTTGCGAGTTTAAAGTCTTTCTCGACCAGCCATCACAAAACCAGATACTCGCGAATATTTCTGAAGAGGTAAGTTTGTAAAGTGAAGTATTTGCGAAATTGAGGTGATATTTAGTAGTTGATTATTGTAGTATACAATCAATACAAACAGGGTTTGTTACCCAGAACAAAAGTGAAAAAAAGTTAAGGGATGTCTGACCTAGCTTGTGGGTTTTCCTCGGAAACTTAAGTGTCAGATTGACATGAAGAAACCTGGTAAGTAGGTGACACTGTCCAACATTAATCTTATAAGGATTGACTAGCTTAAGATTGAGCCAACAAGAATTATGGTGTTTTGTGATTGTTTTAAAAGTATATTGAAGTATTTCAGAGCTACATAACCTCCCTTTTTACCTATAAATTCTGGTAGTTTATACCGATATATTGTCAATAGTGCAATATTACTGTACAGTCTCCTAAATCACTAAGTGATGAAACAATTAATTCCTCCATATTTATCTGAAGTATATATATATATATATTGTATAATATACAGCTAGGAACAGGGGGAAAAAAAAACATCAACATGTATGTAGCTATGTCATTTAATCACAAATTAATCATCATCTTCACACAAATAAATATTATTCGTACATCAAATTAAGTCCACCTTCAGCATGTAATTTGTCCACTATGATATCAAACACAAAACATTATCATAGGTAACACATTCTTTTAATAAAACCCAAACTGGTCTCATCACCTTCAGTTGCCTTACAAACTTATTTTCTCTCTTGGTGGGAAAGCTAAATGAAGATACGTTATTCACTATCTGATGGAAGTTTCTGACCACATTCAACGAATAGAAATTTGTTTACAATAGCTTTGTTGTCCTGCAAGTACTCTCCTACTACAACTTCTGGATTAAAGAGAAATTCCTGAAACACAAGTCTAGTTTCCTGCATTTTAACTTTACTAGACTTTTTGCCCTCTTCCTCCTTTTCATCATCGCTATCATCACTTTCATCGTCACTGGAATCTGAGTCATCTGAATGTTCATTATCTTTGTCTGACAGAGAGGTTTCATCTGCATCAGCTAGAGGCTTATCATCCCCAGAGTCATCAAGAGGCTTGTCATTTTCAAAGTCACCAACTGTGCTAGGTTTTAGTCCTAGGATATGTTGACACAACTCCTTAGCTACTGTTTTCAAAGGAGTGACATCCTCTGTTACATCGGAATCCTGACTCAGGTCAAGCAATACAGCATATTTTCCCATTCTACAACCATCAACCTCAACATCCGAACCTACAAAACAAAACAGAACAGTAATACTACCATTGACTTCAACTTTTACATTATAATCTATGAAAAACAAATCTAAGAAGTCATAAGCTTCAATCTAGAGAGGTAAACCTACAAAATGGTACAAGAGCTACCATTATGAGAGAGTGCTACAAAAATAAGGTAATTTCTCTTAAATGCAACCTCGGTTGTCAAAAAAATTAAATTGAAAATGCAAAACCAAGGAGCAAGGAGAACTTAAACATCATGAAACATTTATGACAGAGTCATAAATCATTTACTGTTATAATTAGAAATCAATAAACAAGGGGCCCATTGGGCCTGTATCACTGAAATTACTTCATCTAAATTAAATGAAAAAGCATTTAAAAGATTAGTATCTATATATTTCCCCTATTAAGACCTGTCCTATGACCCCCATTGGGGGTCAGATGCATCGTTTATAAAAAAAAAATTGTGTTCCCATCTGCCAAGGATATCGGGACAAAATTCGATCATTCTTACAGAAAAAGAATAATTTAAAAAATTCGTTATTTCCCCTGTTTTACACCCTCTCCTTCGATGTAAGGAGGAACAAAATCCACTGTTTATAAAAATTGATTCCCCTTCACTAAAGAATGTTTTCTACTAAATTTTGCCCGAAATTTGTAGGAGACTTCACAGAGGACAACCAACAGACATCACAGTATGACATAAGCTCAACTGTCCTTCAGACCAGGTAAGCTAAAATATCACATCCATGAACACATATACTGCAAGCTATCCTACCCCTATCCCTGTAATGGAATGTCGCTGATCAGAACTTAATGCAGCAGAGTCTATTCTTTGCGGGGAACTTTTGATGATACTGAAATTAATAGCAACTTTACCTGCTAAATGGATATAGGTTTCCAGGTGAGAGTTAGGTGCTACACCCATGTGTGTAACTTGACGAGCAGACAAATTCTCCCCAACCTTTCCGACGGCTAATGCTACCAAATCACCAACAGTCTGGTTACCAATGTCAAGGCCATCCAGCTGGTCTTTAGGAAGGGATACCTGAAACAAACAAATCAATTGTACATTCCAAGCTGTACAACAGAATACCTCGATTATTTCCATGCCATACCTCAGAATACGTTTATCTTTTCCCCAGCAATGCATCAGAATACTTTGCTCATTTTCCAACCATACCTAAGAACACCTTGACATTTCTAAAGCTATACCTAAGTCTACTTCATTCTCTACTCATACCTCAAAAGATCATTTTCCAGCCAATACCTTAGATTACCTTGATCATTTCAAGACTATCACCTCTGAATACTTTCTTCATTTCCTAATCTATCTCAGAATACCTTTAATAAATTTAACCCCTGTGACCGCCAAAGTTTATCAATGTCATTTATATTCACAAGGAAGCTTGTCAGTATTCTGGGTTTCAAGAAGATTACTTCATCAAAATCCGACCCGTACTTCAAGAGATATCATACGGTAAAACAGCATTCAGACGGACGGAAGGACAGACAGAACCCATTTGCATATCCCCTACCAACTTAGTTGGGCGAGGGACAAAAAGAAACATCATTCTATGCCACAGATTGAATGCTTGAAAAAATTGTATAGTAAGTGGACTTAGTTCTACTACAAAGACGTGTTGCATGTTAGACATGGCATGTGGCAAAGACTGTAATTAAACAATCAAGATAATTGAGCCACTTGTACATTTTAGATTTTTTTTTACATTCTTCTTTTTCTCTCTTGGAAGGCTAGTGACACTGTTCAATGCAAACTGCCCATACATATTGTTCTAACACTGTGTAACCAAAGTAAAGGATTCGCTGAGGACAGAAACTTCTGTAAACTTGACTGGAAGCTATTACAAGAGTAATTACACCCCTGATACCTTAAAAGAAGGAACTCTACCATGTTCCATCCTACATACCTACTGACATGATATCAGCCAGGACACTGGTGCTTCTGGATCTTTAGAAGAATTTTTAGTGTTTGAACCAAATTTGGCCCCTGTGACCTTCAAAACAGATGAAGATAAATCTTATGAGGAAATTTTAGAAAACTCCATCAAGAACTTTCTTGCCAAACATCAGTTCCCTGGGTATTCTTGAACTTAAGGTTCATATAATTCTTACAGGTTTCAGCATATTTGACTCCTGTCAACTTGGAAATTGGTCAAGAGTGTTGCACACTATCCTAAGTATCAGCTAATATAATATCCAGACTCTGTGTCCTCTTGGAACTTTCAAATTGGAAAAGATTCTTAACACAAAACAGAAAAAAACCATAACCTCAGATGTTACCTTGAAAACAGGTCAAGGTCAATTCTACCAAAAGTTTTTATAGCATTCTATCCTTGGTACCAGCCAGCAAAACATAAAGACTCCAGGCCTTCTGGAACTTCAGAAGTACATTCTTTAAATTTTTAACTATTTGACCCCTGTGACTTTGAAAACAGGTCAAGGTGATTCATATGAGGAAAATTTACAGTACTCTTCTCAGGTGCCACCTTGCCATTTATCGGTGCAAAGTTACTTCCAGTTTTCAAATATTTGAAAGTTGATGGGATGGAGGGACAATCCATGGATCCCTGGCCATATTGTAAGCTCAAATAAACTACCATGTGATCTAACAACAAGAAGACAATAAATTACTGTTAACATGTTTTATTTTTCGTACATGGACTTGAAACAAAATATAAACTTCAACAATATCACATATTTGTTAATTTACAGTCCTTGAATGATAATCTTTCACTTTAATATAAGATAGAATTGAGATACAATGCCATTAATATACAACTCCCTCTTATTACATCAACTTAATCTCATGGTAGTCATGATTATTTATATAAATTCCTTCATCTTTATTTGTCAACATCATACTAACAATAACCACGTTCAAGGCAAAAGTTTTTCTCAACAAAAATAACTTGTCTAAATAGCATACCATAAAATCATTAATTTTTGAGGGTGATTTGTTTTTGTTAAATTTGTGGGCACTCTATAACCACAAAATGTTTGACAGATAAAAGTTGATTCTATAATTCTATATAATTTTAGACAACCACAAAATATGAGGCCCATATAAATATATGATTCTGTAGTACAGATGAACACTATGAGTTGGGACACTTTTCATATTAAGATAAGGAACAAGTTGACAACAGTCCTGACAGCATCATACAGTATAGAAGAACACTGAGGTGGAACACTTCTATATTTAGATAAGGAACAAGTCGCTAACAGTCCTGACAGCATCATACAGTACAGAAGAACACTATGAGGTGGAACACTTTCTATATTTAGATAAGGAACAAGTTGACAACAGTCCTGACAGCATCATACAGTACAGAAGAACACTATGAGGTGGAACACTTTCTATATTTAGATAAGGAACAAGTTGACAACAGTCCTGACAGCATCATACAGTACAGAAGAACACTTTGAGGTGGAACACTTTCTATATTTAGATAAGGAACAAGTTGACAACAGTCCTGACAGCATCATACAGTACAGAAGAACACTTTGAGGTGGAACACTTTCTATATTTAGATAAGGAACAAGTTGACAACAGTCATGACAGCATCATACAGAGAAAACGTTAATACAAAACTAATTTGTTGGATTTATCGTTACGTAAACCACCAGGGTCATTTGAGGCAAGGTGTCCTTGTAGAAGCTGATAGCTGTCTTACTAAACACATGCTATCGAAAGAAAACTGGGGTAAAAAAACATTACCCAAGGACAAAACCACAGCACAGGACAATCAACCTTCTTATCTAAAATAGAAATATAACAGCACCAGTAGATACTACAGATGTAAAATCTTCCTCTGAAGTTACAAAATCTGATGTTCTACCACTTATAAATATACATAAATATTTTCAATCTGTTGTGATATTTGAATTAAACGATTGTTTCCTTGATGAAAACTGTGTAAAGACCTTGTGATAGCTTATGATGCAATTGTCAGAAAAAATACCTAGGAAGACATCAGGATAATTTCCTTTCAGAACTCTCAAGAAAGTCTGCTATTTTATTTATCACATTTCTGTCTGTCATGATCCGTGATTTTCCATGCGAGTTGTCAGTAAAAACGTTGTGTATACCTTTCACTCCAGCACGTCTATGAACAATCTCCAGGTGGTACAAACCGAGGCCGTTCTTTGCAATCTTGTTTACTTGGTTTTTTGTCAACACCGCTTTCTTGACTAATGGCTGTAGACTTCCTCTACACTCATCAATCTGTTTTTTGTAAGCTACATAATCTTGTACATATGAAAAAGTGTAACTGGACTGACACATTAGGTTGTTTGAGATCTTTTCTGATTGGACAAGTTTTTGAAGAATTTCCACATCCTGGCTAGCATCATGGGCCCTGTACTTAATCCCTAGAATATCAGTGATGAGAGATTCCAGATTGTAATGAGTTCTATTTGGAATAGCTATTCTGAAAACTGACAGTGTGTCGACAAAGCCATCCACCAGATATGAGACTCTTTGATCTTTGATTTCTGTAAGACAGTTACACAACACAAGTGCATCAAACAAGGCATTATGTGCTACTAGGACTGGAGATAGGAAGTTACAGAGCCAGTCTGCAAAGTCCGACATACACTTTGTAGCGGAGACAGCTTCAAGAGATTCTCCATTCTTATAAAGTTTTCCTCCAACATAAGAGAGTCCTGTTAAATGTGAAGCCATTCTACTGATAGGTTTACGAGGAAGAACATATCGTGTGAACAGCTGGTCATCGACACTTGCTGAGATTTGGGTAATGTTAGAAAAACCTGGAAAAAACATAAGAAAATTAAGTAATACATTTCTTGGTGAAAGAATATTTTCATCATCATCAGTATTCAAGTTTGTTAATAAGATATTTAACATTCAGCCAAATAAGTGTATGCTTAGCCTTCTGAAACACCTGGTCTAATCATTGTACTTTCTGAAAGTAAATTATTCATCTGTTGATATTTTAACATCCTTTCATAAATTTTGCGATAGCATTTTACTTTTGTTTACATTTTAATATTTTTGTTTTTGTTTTTTGTTTTCTTTTGGTTAATTAGTTAAAGCCCCAAAATACGCAACACTAAAGTATATTAGATTTATTTATATAGATATATTAAGAAGCAATGTATCTGAGAAACTTATGATAACATCATGTGTTGGTATCGATATTAAAAGTGGTTGAAATTCACTTTTTGTAAACATGCCTCCATTTATGCATTTTGCTGAACTGAGGTCAGAAAATCTGTATTTACTATAAACATATACATTATACAATGAGCCCTCTAGTGACTATACACTCACATTCTACCTGTACAGCATGAAGAGCATGCAACATGTACAAAATAGCAATTTACCTGTAAATACTTCTATGCTGAGCATGCAAGTGTTTCGTGGTGTCTTTCCATTTATTTTTAGTATGACCTACATTTATTCGTTCTTATTTGTTTCGATATCATAACCAAGCATTTCTCAATAGATACCACTCAACTCACGTATGTTTTATTGTCATCATGACATAATTATCGAGATAAAGATTTCACATTAGTGTTTTGAATCAAGCAAATTGACCACATGATTCATATAATGGTGCTTTTATAATAATACTTCGAAGTGCTACATTCAGGGTTTTCCATAATTTTATTAGTAGTAGGCTGTGTAGTGAAAGTAGGAGGCTGGCCTGCCGTGTACGTGTAGTCGTGTACGGAACATTATTACGGAACTGGATTGGTGTAGGCGGCCAAATGATCAAAGTAGCCGGTCAAATTGGCCGGCGACCGGCTCTTATGGAAAACCCTGTACATTCATGAATGTTTTGAATGATGAGACAAAAGTGCTGCCTTAGTTATCAGGGTTTTTCTTGACCCTTATCTTGATACTTACCAAATCCTGTGGTTTCCAGATCAAAATATATCCATGTGTAGCCACCACCAGCAAGTCTCTCTACAGCTGGTCTTACAGTCACTTTAGGAATGTCTTCATAATCAAACAGGAAACAAGGAGAATTTTCTTCTCTTTCAGCCAGCTCCACTTTTCTACGCTTGCTTCTTTGACTTGAAGCTTTCGACTTTATATAAGAGGGCCTCATGGTACTAAAATGTCTCAGTTGACAGCGAACACAAGAACTCTTTCGGAAAAATATATTCTTGTTCACCTACAGAAAACATAGGATGAAAATTATTCTATTATCAGAATGTATATCTAATGATGAATCTGTATTTTTTTCTGCAATGTTTTTGCATTATAAGTTGTCTGAATATTTTCTTCTCTTTATATTCTATAGGTGAACAAGCTTATATTTTTTCTTAGAATCTATATGCCATTTATATGGAATAGCACAAACTTCTGGATGGTATTATTTATGCAAAACATCAAAAGATTTCCAAACTGTGTTCTGCAGGGTATTACTTATATCAAACATCACAGGCCTGAGACTGTCCTATTTTTAAGCTGAATTAGATAAATAAAATTTAAAAAATCTCACAAAAAGCAAACAACCTTATTGGGAAGACACCAGTATATAGCACACTGAAAAAAATAATTCAAAAATATTGTGGAGCATTAAACATTGTTGTCAACAGTCTACCTGAGTACTAGTAGGTGCAGCCATGAAATATCTGTGGCAGCCGGAAGTGACATTGGATACCAGATCATGAAATTTTTCATTTTTGGCCACAAAATCTGTTTCGCAATTGATCTGTAAAAGAAGAAATCATATATCAATAATTTAATTCTCTATGAAACAAGCATTTTCATTGGCCAATATTTTGTTGTTACCAACCAATAACAAATAAAAAATGACATCATTTTGTAATGTCATATTTGATTGGTTAATGTGGCAATGTAAAAAATTTAATACATTGAGATAAAAGTTTATAAGAAATCAGTCTATTATGAGATGGCAAGCTAAAAATGATTAACCTGTGATTAAAACATAAGGATTCTCTTTTTCGATGGTAGCTATTCAGATCCAATAACATCAATTATATTAACCAATTAACTGAAAACTTGATAAGGCTTCCTCTATGGAAATTCAACATAATTAAACTGAACTACAACAATCAGAAAGTAGATAACACAACTGCCTACAGAACTATACTGCATCTAAGAAAGATATTTCAATGACACAACTCAACATCAAAAAGAGAATATTGGTCTGCCCTTTTAGAAAATGGTAACATCACGTCAATAATGTGATATAGAGATACCGAAATGTCAGCAACTACATCCCAGTTTCAGAGACAACTCCGACCAACCTCAGATTTATAGAAACCTTACCTCCACCACTGTCTCCCTCTGATTATCAGACTTGACCATGACCCCTATCTTATAGAACCCTTACCTACACCACTGTTGCCCTCTCATTATCAGACTCGACCCTGACCCCTATCTTATAGAACCCTAACCTCCACCAATGTCTCCCTCTGATTATCAGACTCGACCCTGACCCCTATCTTATAGAACCCTAACCTCCACCAATGTCTCCCTCTGATTATCAGACTCGACCCTGACCCCTATCTTATAGAACCCTAACCTCCACTACTGCCTCTCTCTGATTATCAGACTCGACCCTGACCCCTGTTTTATAGAAACCTTACCTCCACCAATGTTGCTCTTTGGTTATCTGACACAACTCCAACCAGCCCCTGTGACATTGGGCGACCTTGTAACTTTGTAGCCTTGGCCCATCCTTCTTTCTGTGCTTGTTCTAACAACCATTTTTCTGCCTGTAAATACATGAACATGAGCTGGTTGATAAGGATATTGTCAACTGTCTTTGCTAGCCAAGATTTACAATTCAATGTTTCCTAAGAGACAGGCTAGCAAAACTTCGGTTCAAGTTATAATGTTTTATTCAAGTATTATACAACAAAGTTTATTTTATCATACAGAGGTACATTTCATATGAATGTTGTACTTACTTAGGTGCAATGTAACATGCACTATAATCATTTACACAAAGTAATTCTTTGAGCAATAAATATTTCCAAATCTCTATACATTTTCCCAAGCAGATGAAATACTAAGCCCAATACTGAGTAACAGTTTAGTTTCTTCATTTGTGATATAAATACTTCATATAAAGAAATGCAGGGCTTTTTGGCCTGTGGTCACTATGTGGGTATACATTCTTATTCTACACTGATGTTTGATATATGAAGTATACTTGTATTATTTTTTCTTTTAAATATTCGGACTAAACCTTTCACGTTAATATAATTTGTAATTCTCCATTACAGTATAGACTACTAACACTAGTTACCTTGTCAACATCATTTTCAAACTGTTCCAGAGCTTTCCTGCAGTTCATAAATCCAATACCAGTTTTCTTCCTCAGCTGACTGAGACTGGCTTTATCTACTACTGTAGCATAGCTCCTGATGCTGCCCAGGAATGGTTGGTTAAAGCAGGGTTTCAATATATCTATAAACACAATAATAATAATATGTGTTATATCTTTAATTAGTATCAAAAAGCTTAACTCTGAACAGCTTACATAACCTTACTGCTCATCAGCCCCTAGGGGGCCAGCTAGTGTCAATATAAGTGAATCATCAAACTGTCACACTATAATAACAATTCTATTAAAGTTTATTTTATTTTCAAATAAAAATAAACAAAAGATCTTCAATGTAACTTTCCTAGATAAATTATAGTAAACTTAACACCCTCCCCATCGCAGTAAAGACATAAATTTTGTTATTCTCAGTCCATTTCCAATGTCAAGCTTGACCACCTCTTTGGTTCGGGAACTCCCTCTCCAATTTAGCATTGACAGTGCCGCACAATAGTTTTGAAAACGAGGCAGTTCATTTTGTAAACACTAACACATGACCACAGGCGAAAATGACAGTGACACAGTCAGTAAAATCTTGTTTTCAGCACTGGATTTTATCATGGTTGTGGCAAACTCTTAATTCAATTAAGAATTACAAAATAAGTAACGTATAATCTTATGTGACATAAAACTTGACATATCCAGATTGTTGATCAAATGATAAGGATTTCCGTTTTTATAATCATTTCTTTACTTCTTTAAGGGCATATTTAAGCGAAAAAGCAACTCTCAATGTTCATAAGGTGATACACTTGATGTACCGTATTTCACCACAAATAAGCCCCCCCCCCTACCACTTTTTCCAATTTGCCAGGAATAGGGGGGTATTCGCAATTAAGCAATAATATATGCAATAATTAAAAATCAGTAAAAAAAAGTTTTACCATGAAGTCACTTTAAATTGAAAGTCACAACCTTAACCTAACATGTGTAATCTTGTAACATTCATAAAGGAGGGTCACTCAAGTTAAGCAAGAACCACTCTATCATTATAAAAATGACCATAACACAATTGCATTTTATCATGGTTTCAATAGCAATGACATGCCACTTTGCACACATTCAACACTAGGCACTAGATCTACTCTTGGAAACTATTTACTAGCCCGAATGTCAAAATGTCGATAGAGTGTACATGTGGGACCGGTGTCATTAGGATCCCGTTTTCATCTCAAAGTCAAACGGTATTGCAAGAAGTGAGATGCCTCCGATTGAATTTTTAAATGTCTCAATGGAACCGACAAAATGTTCATCAAACCTACATCAGACAGCATCATTGAGAAACTTACTTCGTATCATGACAATTTCTCAGTTTTCCTTATAAAAACGTGCTTCCGGTTTCTTATGTAAAATCATGGTCATGTCAACCCTTCGATTTAAATGTTTGCATATTAAAGCGTTTTACTGACATCGTCGTACAAACCACGTTTTACTATCATCGTTCTAGAACGACTACCGTATAACACATTTTGACCCATTTCAAGCAAAACATGGATGAAGGAAATTCACCCGATGATGACATTACAAATTCTGAGAATGTTGAGAACGAGTTTTCTCTTGATCCTAACGATATCGTTGAAGTAATCCAACTTGAAGGTGAAGACGAAGGTAAATCAATGGGTTCTGTCACTTGCTATACATTGTGAAACATGATTTCTACTTGTGCCAAGTAATTTACTTCATCCTGTTGAATATTGTGTATTACACAACGTTCGCGAGAGTGAGAACGTGGCAAGAGGATGTATTGTTATCGTTGAGTGAGTGAAGTTTAGCATATATACATACAGGGAGAGGACCGTGGTGATATGGTTCTGATGAAGAAGAATTTGTCGTTCACATATACTTTGATGTTGATCTAATAGAAAGAAGCAATGAAATTCATTTGCCTCCCTCTTATTTCCTTAAGTTATACAACTTATCGGTAACATGTGATAACACACATAATAATATATATAATACATAATACAAACACTGGAACAACATCATACACACTATTTAGACACAAACAGTCAGTTATATTTTTTTATTGTTACAATAATTTACATTAATACCTGATGATGAGACATACAGACAACCCAACTACATCTACATCATCAACTAATGACCCTTCTGTCTCTAGCAGGACACCACACCACACCGCTTAACTAATACAGATTCCCTAATAGCTGATACTAGTTAAGGGATCTGAATGCATGCCTTCTTTGGCCTTATTTGTTGTATACCTGTAGATAAATGAAGGGAGATTTGAGATATTGGTAGCAGGCACATAGATAAATGTTTTGCTATTTACTGTATCACAAACACAAACCAACACTTTCAAGCACCAGTTACAGTTTATATCCTTGTTTTAAATATACATTGACACAATTACCTGTAAAATCATAGGGTATTTTAGATGATGTATGTCTGTAGGAGGCTTGGCATCTATAGTGATCACCTGACTTGAAGATTTTATAGATGATGTGTGTTTGTAGGATGCTTGGCATCTATAGTGATCATCTAACCTGAAGTTTTTATACGCCCGTCGAAAGACGGATGTATTATGGTATAGCGCTGTCCGTCCGTCCGGCGTCTGTCGTAAACTTTTATTTGTCCGGAGATCTCCTGCTACATTTTTCAGCCATCTTTATGAAACTTGGTAGGCTTAATCACCATGATATGAAATTTTGTTTTCCTGAACGGGGTTTTGATTTGGTGACATGAACAAGAGTTATGGCCCTTTGTTTATTTCACTATAGAAATCTTGTCCGGAGATCTCATCCAACATTTTTCAGTCTATCTTTATGAAACTTGGTAGGCTTAATCACCATGATATGAAATTTTGTTTTCCTGAATGGGGTTTTGATTAGACGATTTGAATAAGAGTTATGGCCCTTTGCTGTTTTGGATATTCACGGGTGTGTTTTGTTCCGCTATCATGAAGAGCATGTTTAAAAGCTTGAAAAGCTAATGGGCCTATATGATTTTTTCTTATTTCATGTTATATCAGTGCTTATAATCAGGTATACTCAATACATTCTTGTGATAATTTCTCATGTGTACAATCGCGAGCAATGATTTATCAACTCTTTTTCGATTGCAATTAAACTTTTTGTGTAGTTGTTGTCGATTGTTTCTGGAAATTGAAAGCGTGATTAGTTTCTGTTTTGACTTAGAAATGAAAAATGCTTAGATCTTCTTGGATTTTTATGCAAACAATTATTATATATAAATCCTGCTCAAAGTGTTCACAGATCAAAAAGTATGTCAATGATATTCATACTATATACTGTAAAATCATAAAGTTTTGTTGAGCTCAATTTTTGTGGTTAAATTTAAAAAAAAAATTATTGTGGACATTCTCATGGTTAAGTATAGCTCTTTAAATATACTTATGCTAATGATGTCAGTTCATAGACGTATGAGTTTGTGGATTTACCAATAAAATCCACACAAATGAATCCCCCTAGAAAATTAATAATTTTACATCTCACCATAATGATGTATATTAACATGACTTAGTATATAAACAGATCATTCTCTACATAATTGGTAATTATTCCCTACTATTCAAAAATTTATCACTGGAAAAATTCCAACTTTTGATATCATTTATCAAACTTACATACTGCAGATATTTCCCATGATGTTAACGACATGGATCTTCATGACGAGGAAGAAGATGATGAGTTTGATGAGGAATCGGAGGCTATGGGAGGCGGTCAAGTGAAAGACGATGCTAGTATGGTGTTTTCCAGTCATACAGGTATATATGGAGGTGACTGCTACAGGTGACACTTGTTGTCATGCTTGGTAGCGTATTTAAAATTGAAGTAAAGTTGCAACTAACTCCAAATATTTAGGGTAAATATGATAAATGATTATATGACACTACCATTTGGACCTGAATTAAAGAGAAAGGAACTATCAATGCATTACTATAAAGATATGAACTGAGGCCATTTTTTTTTCGATACCTTTATAAAGATTGCAACCAATGACCTTTGACTTACTAGTGTTGTGTTCAACTGGTTGTGACCTCTGGCTTACTAGTGTTGTGTTCAGCTGGTTGTGACCTCTGACTTACTGGTGTTGTGTTCAGCTGGTTGTGACCTCTGACTTTCTAGTGTTGTGTTCAGCTGGTTGTGACCTCTGGCTTACTAGTGTTGTGTTCAACTGGTTGTGACCTCTGACTTATTAATGTTGTGTTCAACTGGTTGTGACCTCTGACTTTCTAGTGTTGTGTTCAGCTGGTTGTGACCTCTGACTTACTGGTGTTGTGTTCAGCTGGTTGTGACCTCTGACTTACTAGTGTTGTGTTCAGCTGGTTGTGACCTCTGACTTTCTAGTGTTGTGTTCAGCTGGTTGTGACCTCTGGCTTACTAGTGTTGTGTTCAACTGGTTGTGACCTCTGACTTATTAATGTTGTGTTCAACTGGTTGTGACCTCTGACTTTCTAGTGTTGTGTTCAGCTGGTTGTGACCTCTGACTTACTGGTGTTGTGTTCAGCTGGTTGTGACCTCTGACTTATTAATGTTGTGTTCAACTGGTTGTGACCTCTGACTTTCTAGTGTTGTGTTCAGCTGGTTGTGACCTCTGACTTACTGGTGTTGTGTTCAGCTGGTTGTGACCTCTGACTTTCTAGTGTTGTGTTTAGCTGGTTGTGACCTCTGACTTTCTAGTGTTGTGTTCAGCTGGTTGTGACCTCTGGCTTACTAGTGTTGTGTTCAACTGGTTGTGGCCTCTGACTTACTAGTGTTGTGTTCAGCTGGTTGTGACCTCTGACTTACTAGTGTTGTGTTCAGCTGGTTGTGACCTCTGACTTTCTAGTGTTGTGTTCAGCTGGTTGTGACCTCTGGCTTACTAGTGTTGTGTTCAGCTGGTTGTGACCTCTGACTTAATAATGTTGTGTTCAACTGGTTGTGACCTCTGGCTTACTAGTGTTGTGTTCAGCTGGTTGTGACCTCTGACTTTCTAGTGTTGTGTTCAGCTGGTTGTGACCTCTGACTTTCTAGTGTTGTGTTCAGCTGGTTGTGATCTCTGACTTACTAGTGTTGTGTTCAGCTGGTTGTGACCTCTGACTTTCTAGTGTTGTGTTCAGCTGGTTGTGACCTCTGACTTACTAGTGTTGTGTTCAGCTGGTTGTGACCTCTGACTTACTGGTGTTGTGTTCAGCTGGTTGTGACCTCTGACTTTCTAGTGTTGTGTTTAGCTGGTTGTGACCTCTGACTTTCTAGTGTTGTGTTCAGCTGGTTGTGACCTCTGGCTTACTAGTGTTGTGTTCAACTGGTTGTAGCCTCTGACTTACTAGTGTTGTGTTTAGCTTGTTGTGACCTCTGACTTACTAGTGTTGTGTTCAGCTGGTTGTGACCTCTGACTAACTGGTGTTGTGGCCTCTGACTTACTAGTGTTGTGTTCAGCTGGTTATGACCTCTGACTAACTGGTCTTGTGTTCAACTGGTCGCTGAACAGTTTTACTCTCAACCCATAATGCTGAAGAAAAATGGCCTCTTGCTGAACAGAATTTTCTGGGTAGTATTTACCATGGTTACATAACTTCCCTACAGGAAAGAATTTGTCTTTTGACGGTGGTGATGCTGAATATTAATCCTGAGCTCGTACATATGCACTAATATAACAGAGGTCATTATTTATTACAATGCTTTGGCTGGGATTTGAACCGGGGATCTCTGATTTATGAGTCTTGTGCTCAAAATGATCAAGCTCAAGAGAAGATATTCTTAGTCACTTGGTATATTGCTGCTTGACCAGGGTTTTATTGCTATAAATAGACTGACCTATTTATTTTTATTGAGGCCTGTATATACATTTATTTGATGAATGAACTGTATTGATGTTTCATATATTTCTTAATGAAGTATTTTGTAAAATGTGAAAAGGTGATCTTTGAAATACTAATTACTGAATTTTATTAAAATGGTGACAATAGTATTCTTACTTGATTCAATTCAATTGCATTTAGACTTTCAGAACTGCCATTTCTGCTCTTGTATGTATGATCCATACACTTCAATGCAGAGGACTATATCGCTAAAAATCACAAAGGAGGAGGATCGTATAAGCCTTAATATTAATCTGATTAAGCTTGTTAGCACATTTTTCATCTGCTTTGAATTAGCCTATATTCATTGAACTTCGTCTTGTCAGAAATCATTTGACAGATGGAATATTTATTGAAAATTTTCATCTGCAAAGACTTCAACCAGTCTTAAAGAACAGGAATTTTCTTACTATTACTTTTTATCTAAGAACAGAATTTTGGTTTCAGATGCTGTTTTCAGTGTAGGCATTGACCCACATGGAGGGAAGATGGCAGTGACCGGCGGTCAAGATGACAAGGGCTATATTTGGTCAGTTACAGATGGAGAATGTATTATGGAGTGCGGAGGTAAAACTGAATTAAATATAATTGATAAACACTAAATTGATACATTGAAACTTTTGTGGAAAATGAAACTTAGTCTAAATTCTGATTGCAAAATAGTTCACAAAACTTGTTTCATGTACCATGCTGCTATTTTACTTTGGGAAATAAGACTAGAATTTTAATTACCTTGTGATTTGGTACCAATATAAGGAAAGGTTTCGCAGACATTACTACTGTAAGCACAGTGAGCTCAAGTTAATTCATTTTCCAGTTCTGATGTACACAGGTTCCTTGAGAACAGAAGTAATTCCTTAATGTCTGACGTTCTGGAGTACACAAATTCCTTTCATCAGTGATCCTTGGGTTTCGAGATGTCTGTACAGAAATGCTGGTATCAGTTTAATATCTGTTTACTTCAACAGGACACAAGGACTCAGTGACCTCAGTGGGCTTCAGTTTTAATGGGACCTATGCAGCCACTGCTGACCTCAGTGGACTGGTCAAGGTGTGGAAGGTAGAAACAAAGACTGAAGTTTGGTCATTTGAATGTTCTGACATAGAGGTGAGTTACACAAACGTTAAAAAAATGATGAATTTTTAATCCATCCAAAACATAAAATGGTGGTAAATTGTATACAAGGTATTTGGATGTGTAAAGAAGATTAAGATTATATTTAACATCGCAATGACATCTGGGATGTTTCCAGTGGCTACAGTGGCACCCATTGGCACCGGTTTTGCTGTCGGGCACCGTAGATGGAGATGTGTGGATGTGGAAAATTCCGGATGGTGATTGTAAAACATTTCAGGGTCATGGCTGCACAGCTGGAGTGGGACGCATTCTTCCAGATGGTATATTAACTGTTTCATCAATCTTTTTCTCTGTTTGATTGTAACGGTATACTTTTGGGTTTTTTTTTTCAGTTACTGTATGTTATATAAAATTAATAATTTAACATGATTTAACAGATGTAATATTATATAATGCAGTTTCTGTAGCATCATGTGTTTTTCTGGGGCTCAATTTCCGTGGTTTTTCAAAAAACCTGATTTCATGGATAAATAAAAGTCAATAATTCTACTTATTTTAACAGTTCATGGACAAATGAATTTGTAGAATAAGAAATCAATGAAAATAGATACACAAAAATGAATGATTGTGCAGTACAATAATTGATGAAAATAGTTTTCAGATCTAAATTTAAATCCAATTTACCTTCGCTTTCTGAAATCAAAAAATCAGAATCGACTTGGTTGCAATATACAGTTGAAACTTGTTATCACGAAATTCAAGGGACCGTGGAAAATATTTCAACAGATCCAAATTTCAACTCAAAGGGTCTGCATAAGATTGACGATATTTGTTTCCTGGTGTTTGTTATGGTTGATCAAAGAACAGCGACGATAGACGGTAGACGCTGCACTGTGGTACAAACAGCATAATTTATTTCAAAAGGAAGTAAATAAATAGAAATTAATATTTTTCTATTTTCTCCTTTTATTGTTTATTCATCTGAACAAAAAAACATGTAATAACAACACCTATCAACTACATATGTGCTTGCTTTGTTCGCCGTGATTTTTAGAACAGGTGTATAATGTTCCCAATACCTGTCACTTGAATACCTACGCCGGTATGCAGGGCGGTTGACAAACCAATAAATTTACAAACACCTTACCCTGAGCTTGTTGTGATTGATATTTGTCTTTGAGTACATATAGATTGTATATTTTACTAAATGACAATAAAATGAAAATAAAATTTGCTTTTGATACGCTGTTGAACGTATGAAAAAGGTGGTGCTGGAAAGTTTTCACCTGTTAAAGAAAACATTATACTAGACATAACAAATAACACAGGCATAGACTCTGTCAATGAAAAAATACTTTAAACTTTGCGTTATCCAAGCACAAAATTGAGCAAAGTACCTGATCACAGTCCTTCAATAAAAAAGCTCAAAAACTTGTTTCTCTCAGAAATGTAAGGATCAAATTTTGTCAAAAGTTTTGTACTGGTTTAATTGTTTCGTATACTGATAAATCACTGCTACAGGATGGTAACACTAATTAAGAAAACAACTTTAAACTGAATAGTTGATTTGGTAATTAATTGTTAGAGGTTAAGTGTTGTGTGTATGATGGACTGATATGCTGTAACTAGCCATATGTTATGCACAGGTGACTTTCTATTCTGACGAGGTATCGACAGATTTCTTCAGAAGACAGGTCTATGTTTAAAAAAAAAAAAATTTTGAGACAATGAATGACTTTTCCCTTGCATTACAATTGAAAGGACTGAAAAATTAATTTGTCTCAAACAAGATTTTGACTTATAAGATTCACTTCATCCAAATTAAAATTACAGATATAAAGAAGGAAAGAAATTGGGTCATGGATATTATTTCGACTTAAATGGAATTTCGACTTAAGCGATTTTGAGTCGAGTTTCAACTGTATATATTTGTGGTTAACATATCTAATTATAGGTTTCTCCTCAATGATGGAGGTTTCGTTGAATGCCATTTATTTGTCTGAGACTTTTTACAAGATTTTTTTATCATTTAGGGAAACGTGTATGTGTTGGGTATGATGATGGAGCCGTTAAAATTTGGAACATGAAAACAGCTGATGTAATGAAAACAATTTCAGGTAACATATTTGTATTATATATTTTGTGAATATTCAAACACCCCAATGTCTGCAGTTAGTCCAAAAGGTTCTGCCTTTCTGTCCGAGATTTATCTTTCTGTCTTAGTTGAAGTTGATAGTCAGAATTCCTCGGTATATAAAGTTATGAAATTGTAGTGACCCATATGCCATGAGATTTAACTTTTGTTTCTCATATTTGTAAGGGCGATCACAACCAAACTATGCTTTAAACTGTAGTTGTCAGAATAAATGAATGAATAATTTAGTTAACACCTGTCAATGACTTCGACATCTAAGTAAGTCAGTAAAGATATGTTTTTTTTTTTTTTAATATTTATTGGCATCGCACAATTGTAAACTCTATATAACATTGCTACGATATTGACCCATGCACAGGTCGCAAAAGTTTTAGATTATTTAACAGTCTAATGTTTCATCATTCCATGTAATGTGTAGGTCGGGAGGGTCATACGTCAACAGTCGTTTGTATGGATTGTCACCAAGATAATTCCATGGTGATGACGGGGTCAACTGATGTTACTGCCAAGATCATCAACACAAGTACAGGAAAGGTTTGTTCACCGCAAAAACAAAATGCCAACACTCAAATGAAGTTCTATGAGTATGGAAAACACTATTTATACTTCTATCAGGTTTCTGATTACAGGTAGATATTTGTTTTTTATCTATAAATCTTAATTAATTCAGTAAATTTAGGTAAAATTCATTTATGAAATTAAGATTTATATTAAACAATCACTTGAACTGACATTCATACCATAATATTAATTATTCTGCAACCATACTGTATCTTAGTCTGAATTTGTATTAAAAGGTGACGTTTAATTGTGTGTCTTTTATACAATCATTGATATAGAGTTTTGTCGTACTTGCAGGTTCTGTCAACCTTTAACTGTGAGTCAGTGAAAGAGGGAGATAATTCTGTAGAAGCATGTGGTTTTTGTAAACAGTGAGTATTGGTTATTAACTGCTGAGGACTTTTTCTCCGTTGCTCCTCAATTTCAGTGATGGCAAATATTGGATTCCAGTTTGTTGGTTGGTGCAGATTGGGATGCAAAACATACACCACTTCACAAGATCATGAAACATTTTCAAACTTATTATTTTTGAAAGAAAATTTGATTGAATAAATTGCACATCAGAGTCACAGATTGTGCTAAGGTAAAGTTAAAGTTGATACACTCATGACTCTTATTCTGTACAAAATTAGATTGTTGATGTTATTTTGTGATTAAAATGAAAAAGATTTCACAAATTTTAAAAACTTCATTTCTTTAGGAATGGAAACTAGGCAAAGCTGGCTGTGTATTTCAGTTTTAAAACTCGGGCCACTGAACATTTCTCCGTCTTAGATATTATTTAGATAGTATGTATTTCTATAACAGGGAAATGTTTGTCCAGAGATATCTTTGCCCTTGAACCAAATTTTTTACTTTCGCCCTGTGTTAAATTTGTCCAAAAATATATAATTGTATGATTGTATACATTTCATCTATGACATGAAACATTAAGTGACTTTTTTATGCTGTATTTGAGAAAGAAAAAATCTGTTGAACTTTGGCAAATATTTTCCGTCTATAGCACTACAAGAGCAATTGATGCTCCAAATTACAGTTTGTGATATCACCTTGTATTCTCACAGACAGACGCTTGCTGCCACAGGAACACTCCAGGGGACTTTATGTATATGGGACATGCCAACACAGATCACACGAAGCAAATGTCAACACGAGGTATTGCATCTTTTCTTTATTGTAATATTTTGATTAAGAAAATTCTTCTCTTATGTATGTATATATAGCTACCTTAGATCTTTTGCTATTTTTTTTTATTAATCATTTTACGATAGAAAATATACAATACAAAACCAGTATAAAATTTGAAAAGAAATTGTTAACTGAAAAGCTTTGTATATGCCAAAAATGTTTTTCCTTTTAGACCAGCCTCGCCAGAAGGTGGGCTGTTCAAATTGCTTTTTCATCAGTCCTAAAATTTTTTTCACCATTTTGTTTAGAAGCACTGGATGGATCATTGTCAAATTTCATGTGTTGATTCGCCTTTGTGCTAGTCTTATTTTTTTCATTTCTTTGATTGATAAGGAAAAAATTGGCTATCATATGGCCAACTTGGATATGTACAGTTTTAGATTGTTGTCGCTATTTCTTCAGAAGTGCTGGATAGATCATTCTAAAAGTCCATATGTAGATTCCTCTTGGTCCAATAGATCAGAGAAATCAAAATGGTTGGATAAATGATGACAATATTTGTTTAGATATATAGATTTTTACCTACAGATTGTTAATTTTAGGCTGGTGTGGTCAGACTAAAATGGGATCCCACCGCCCCCCTTGTATACACGGCATGTCTGGATGGAGTTGTGCGTCTATGGGATGGCCGAAATGGTCAGTGTGTGAACCAGTGGTCTGGCCACACTGATGCAATACTGGACGTTGATCTGTCCAGGTAAGTCGTAAACTTCTGCATTTGACAAAACAAGACAGAAGATCATAAAGCAGTCATGCATTAAATTTATTTTCTCTGCCGTTAGTCATGTGAAAAATATGTTTTGGAAACGGTCAGTGATATGGAAATGAACTTGCAACTTCAATGGTAAGGCTATGCTCTGTCATGATGTCAACTTGTATTACAAACTGTTTTCTTCGACAGGAACATTTTACTGCTTTAGGACAAGTCCTAATTAGTCCGCTTTAAAACTGGGGCCCGGAGTCGTAATTATTTTCTCTCATGTAAATATAACAATAACTTCCATTGTGATGTTTTGTTTTGTTGCTAGGCGATTTATTTGGATTCTGCATCGACTGTGATTTGTCACTTTGTTTATATTCTTTCTCTTGTATACAAAGAAATTTTTCTAATCTGTCCCCAAACTATTCCTTCAGAGAAACTTGTCTAATATGTACCTTAGTGTGTTCCTCGTTTAATCTGTCCCTTACAGTATCTCTCTAGAGAACCAGGTCTAATATGTTCCCAACAGTATTCCTAGAGAATCTTATCTTATCTGTCCCCAAATTATCCCCACAGAGATATGTTTTGTTTGTACACAGGGTATTTCTGCAGAGAAACCTGTCTAATCTGTCCCCACAGTATTCCTACAGAGAAACCTGTCTAATCTGTCCCCACAGTATTCCTACAGAGATACCTGTCTGATCTGTCCCCACAGTATTCCTACAGAGAAACTTGTCTAATCTGTCCCCACAGTATTCCAAACCTGCCTAATCTGTCCCCACAGTATTCCTACAGAGATACCTGTCTAATCTGTCCCCACAGTATTCCTGCAGAAATACCTGTCTGATCTGTCCCCACAGTATTCCTACAGAGATACCTGTCTAATCTGTCCCCACAGTAATCCTACAGAGAAACCTGTCTGATCTGTCCCCACAGTATTCCTACAGAGATACCTGTCTAATCTGTCCCCACAGTAATCCTACAGAGAAACCTGTCTAATCTGTCCCCACAGTATTCCTACAGAGATACCTGTCTAATCTGTCCCCACAGTATTCCTACAGAGATACCTGTCTAATCTGTCCCCACAGTAATCCTACAGAGATACCTGTCTAATCTGTCCCCACAGTATTCCTACAGAGATACCTGTCTAATCTGTCCCCACAGTATTCCTACAGAGAAACCTGTCTAATCTGTCCCCACAGTATTCCTACAGAGAAACCTGTCTAATCTGTCCCCACAGTATTCCTGCAGAGAAACCTGGTTAATCTGTCCCCACAGTATTCCTACAGAGAAACCTGTCTAATCTGTCCCCACAGTATTCCTACAGAGAAACCTGTCTAATCTGTCCCCACAGTATTCCTACAGAGATACCTGTCTAATCTGTCCCCACAGTATTCCTACAGAGATACCTGTCTAATCTGTCCCCACAGTATTCCTACAGAGAAACCTGTCTAATCTGTCCCCACAGTATTCCTACAGAGAAACCTGTCTAATCTGTCCCCACAGTATTCCTACAGAGAAACCTGTCTAATCTGTCCCCACAGTATTCCTACAGAGAAACCTGTCTAATCTGTCCCCACAGTATTCCTACAGAGACACCTGTCTAATCTGTCCTCACAGTATTCCTACAGAGAAACCTGTCTAATCTGTCCCCACAGTATTCCTACAGAGATACCTGTCTAATCTGTCCCCACAGTATTCCTACAAAGAAACCTGTCTAATCTGTCCTCACAGTATTCCTACAGAGAAACCTGTCTAATCTGTCCCCACAGTAATCCTACAGAGATACCTGTCTAATCTGTCCCCACAGTATTCCTGCAGAGATACCTGTCTAATCTGTCCCCACAGTATTCCTACAGAGATACCTGTCTGATCTGTCCCGACAGTATTCCTACAGAGAAACCTGTCTAATCTGTCCCCACAGTAATCCTACAGAGACACCTGTCTAATCTGTCCCCACAGTATTCCTACAGAGAAACCTGTCTAATCTGTCCCCACAGTAATCCTACAGAGACACCTGTCTAATCTGTCCCCACAGTATTCCTACAGAGACACCTGTCTAATCTGTCCCCACAGTATTCCTACAGAGACACCTGTCTAATCTGTCCCCACAGTATTCCTACAGACAGAAACCTGTCTAATCTGTCCCCACAGTATTCCTACAGAGACACCTGTCTAATCTGTCCCCACAGTATTCCTACAGAGACACCTGTCTAATCTGTCCCCACAGTATTCCTACAGAGAAACCTGTCTAATCTGTCCCCACAGTATTCCTACAGAGAAACCTGTCTAATCTGTCCCCACAGTATTCCTACAGAGATACCTGTCTAATCTGTCCCCACAGTAATCCTACAGAGATACCTGTCTGATCTGTCCCCACAGTATTCCTACAGAGAAACTTGTCTAATCTGTCCCCACAGTATTCCAAACCTGCCTAATCTGTCCCCACAGTATTCCTACAGAGACACCTGTCTAATCTGTCCCCACAGTAATCCTACAGAGAAACCTGTCTAATCTGTCCCCACAGTATTCCTACAGAGACACCTGTCTAATCTGTCCCCACAGTATTCCTACAGAGAAACCTGTCTAATCTGTCCCCACAGTAATCCTACAGAGATACCTGTCTAATCTGTCCCCACAGTAATCCTACAGAGATACCTGTCTAATCTGTCCCCACAGTATTCCTACAGAGAAACCTGTCTAATCTGTCCCCACAGTAATCCTACAGAGAAACCTGTCTAATCTGTCCCCACAGTATTCCTACAGAGACACCTGTCTAATCTGTCCCCACAGTATTCCTACAGAGACACCTGTCTAATCTGTCCCCACAGTATTCCTACAGAGAAACCTGTCTAATCTGTCCCCACAGTATTCCTACAGAGAAACCTGTCTAATCTGTCCCCACAGTATTCCTACAGAGAAACCTGTCTAATCTGTCCCCACAGTATTTCCACTGAGAAACCTGTCTAATCTGTCCCCACAGTATTCCTACAGAGAAACCTGTCTAATCTGTCCCCACAGTAATCCTACAGAGAAACCTGTCTAATCTGTCCCCACAGTATTTCCACTGAGAAACTTTTCTGATTTGATATTTTCAGAGATGGAGAAACCCTGGTTACAGTGTCTGATGACAAAACTGCAAGAGTTTTCTCTCTCCACACGCCAGATAGATGAGGTCGACAAAATTAAACACTAAAACCACAGGGGTTCAGAAAAGACACCTCACAGTAATTTCAGTCTAGCATTAAAAGCGAAACAGACTGTTCACTTTTTCACATGTTTATAACTTATGTCTATATGTACAATGGTGTTGCATCTTGCCTTAAATGTGACAATGTGAAGGAATTTTATCAGATGGAGAGAGTTCCTGCTTCTTGTTTGAATCCAAGGTAATAAGATTTTCCTAATGCCAATGCCAAATGCCCACGTGGACAGGTGATAGACCAGGATTCAATAAAGAGCTTGTGTCAAAGGAAAAGTACATCTTAAGTTTGAAGGAACCAAAATCTGGTTAATGCTATGTACCTCTCCTGTTATGTCAGGTCCTTTACAATAATTAACAGGTATGTAGGGTCAGACATCACTAAAGGAGGGAAAAGGGTAATCATATAATATTTACTCCAATCTTTATTTAATTTTACATCATAAAATACCTTCATCACTTGTGGTTATTAAACTTGATGATACAGAAATTTATATAAACCAAATGTCAAATTGGGTTGGCATGAAACCAAAGTCTTTCGGCATAGTCAATGGTGTCCAGAATCCCTTCAGCTGTAAATGATGTTTGCTGTTTCCCTATGTCAAAGTCGATGATGATGTAAGCAATCTATCAGTAAGTACCTTCGGATACGGCCGTGGGTACAGATACCATGAAAGATCATACCAATACTGAACATATCACCTACTATTATGGGTACAAGGTAGGATTGAACATTTTCAGACTGTTGAAACAACATCGTTTTCTGACCATTAGCCCACACTCAGCCCAAGCCGAGTGTCATCAATCTCCTTATACTTAACATGTTACCTGTTAATAACTGTTGATTATCTCCAATTATCCTAGCTTTTCATGCTTATTAAGTCAAGCACCTGTGTGAATTTGTTTACATAAAATAATTAAATGTGTTCGGGCCAGACTTGTTGTGGTTTTCTAATTATCTGCGCACTTCACTGGAGTGTGTACTAGACCCACAAATTTACAGTATATTTATGTATTAACCCTTTCGGCGCCGTAGGTGACTAAAGTCGACATGCAGACAGGCCGCCGTAGGCGACTGAAGTCGACATGCAGACAGGCCGCCGTAGGTGACTAAAGTCGACATGCAGACAGGCCGCCGTAGGCGACTAAAGTCGACATGCAGACAGGCCACGTAGGCGACTAAAGTCGACATGCAGACAGGCCGCCGTAGGCGACTAAAGTCGACATGCAGACAGGCCACGTAGGCGACTAAAGTCGACATGCAGACAGGCCGCCGTAGGCGACTAAAGTCGACATGCAGACAGGCCGCCGTAGGCGACTTAAGTCGACATGCAGACAGGCCGACTTTGGTCGACAATTTTTATATCTTTATTATATACATTTTTATAATATTTGGCGCTGAGCTGTACATTGTGAGAGATATTTGGCACTTTGCTGTACATTGTGAGAGATATTTAGCGATGAGCTGTACATTGTGAGAGATATTTGGCGCCGAAAGGGTTAATTAATTTTTGAATACTGTGCAACATGAAATATTTGTGTTGTAGAAACTTCTAGTATTTTTGTGATGAGACAAACCAAGAAAATAAAACATTAAGAATAAAACTTCAGACAAAAGAATTACTAATGTAGTAAAGTTTAGTTTTCACTGATTGTCTTGGGTGTAAGAAAAGTTCCCATAAACCTGTTAAACAGTAAAGAGATATATGTACTACTGAATAATTATAATTTAAAAATGGAATGAAAGTCATATCCTGAAATCTTTTTGTCAGTTTTAATTAGCACACTGGCTGTTTAAATCCACATTCATCCAAGAACACTTCCTCTTCTGGAACACCTGGTCTTATTATCCTTGTACTTTTTCAGGAGTCTCTGCATAAATCTTTCTTTTAATCATATTTTGCCCTAGTTTTATTGAATTGAGTTTGGATTTTAATTATGTTGACATGTTGGTATTTTCTTGTTGTTTTTTGTCTGTAAATAATCCTTTTGTTGCAAATTCTTGTACTCAAAGGATATGCCTTTTTCATTTTGGGATTGAACAAAAAATTAAAAAGATGACAGGTGATCGTCTTGGATTTAACAAAGATTATCATTGCTATTTCTGCAGAGGAATTTTCAAATTTTGTACAGTTAGAACAGAAGAAAATTTGAATAGGTGGAAGAAGATCACCCCATTATGGAACAAATAAAGAATAATCCAAGATGGGCACCGAGATCCTTCTGGAATCTCTTATGATGGTGTTCCTTTGTCCCTAGTTATGACCTTTTGATTTTTGGATTGGGAAAAAAATAGTTTGCAAGTGGTTATATTGAATTTTCACAATTGATGATTGTCATCATCATTTCTCGGAAGTACTGGATGGATTTGTCTTGTATATCATTTGTTGGTTTCTTTTGATCCTTAATTTTGGGACTGATCAGAAAAATAAGATGGCTGACAAGCAACTATCTCAGATTTTTTAAATGAAAGTTTTGTATTGCTATTCCTAGGAAGACCTGGAGGGTTCTCTCTCAGAATTCCAAGGTAGGTCCCCTTTGCTGCCTTATTGTGTGCTTTCATTATAGGGACTGATCTGACAAACAAAATGGCCAACAGGCAACCATCTTGAATTTGATATTTAAAAGATTACTATTGCTATTTCTTGAGAGGAATTTTTACTTTTCATATGACTTGGCAAAAAAAAAAAAAAAAAAAAAAAAAAAGGAAAAAAGAAGGAAATATCCAATTTTTAAGGAAAATAGAGATCAAACAATAGTGGGTGCCAAAATCCTGTGGGATCTTGTCACATTTGAGGGGGATTAGAAATATTATGACATCAACTTTGAACATTCCTGTACAAAATAAAAACCAACATCAATATCAGAATGGAGATAAAAATCCGGTTTATTTACAAATCCAACAAGGTAGATTATTATTGTTATTATAGTGAAAATTGTACAAGTGGAAAAAAAATGACAGATACTTTCACCTCTGTCAAAACAACACAGTTATGAATAATTTGTATAATTACTGTAGTTACGACTTACCACTGTCGGCTAGTCTGCCAAGTAGCGAACACATGATGGTCTGGCGATGAGGAAACAGAGAAGTCATATTAACAGCTGAAGAAATGAGGATATATTGTTGCCTACCATGATGTGGCATGGTCAATCAGAATAGGTCAGTATTTAATTGATGATTAGCCTATTTTTGGTTACACATAATCAATGATATTCTGATCTGTTCTAAATGACTCTACCATGTAATGGCATAACACCAAATAGACACCATTAGTACGTCAATTTGAGGGAAATTTCATTAAAAGAATTTAGATCCCTGATGGTGGCTGGAGCCACTATCAGGACTAGAGTCTGTGATTTCAACAGACATGAACCTGTCAATGACGGAAGAGACCAAAGGTGTGTCCAATAGCTAGCTTAGGTGACCGCCAAGGTGGCAGTGTTGGATGGCTCTTAAATTCAAAATGAAACACGGCGTGCAGAATCAACATTTATCACATGCAAACAGCTTGTAAAACATAGGGGGTTAATACCATTCATTCTCTTGTATGTAGACTAAACATACCAGCTGTGGGAGAATTGCCTAAAAGACCAAACTCTCCAAATGTCTGACTGATGTCAAGAGAGATCTTACATGACTCCAACACTAAAAGTAGAGCCAAATCTGTATATACTTATATTTACACACAACCAAAATCTTTGTAGTTGATATCAGCAAGAAGATGTGATTGACATCAACAGTAATCTGTAAAATTTTGAAATTTAACAAATTTGTACAAAATCAACCAAATTTATTATCACTAAATTTTCTTATTCTATTCAACAAAATAATCTAATTCTTAATCATTAATCATATCTTTGAAATAAAACGTGTAAATGCCAATAAAATTTCAGATTTTGATAAAATAAAAAAAAAATTTTGGAGGACACATATTCTCCTCCTCCAACATTTAGTAACATATAATGGTACAAGTCTTTTACGCGTGCATGTACAATCACATCTCATTCATAACTTAGTATAACTTATCGACAAGATGATTAACATGCAGAATTAAATAACAGAAACAAATATTCACAGCAAGAGTTGATCAATGGGTGCTAACTTTTTAGGTTCTCACCATCAAGTGTATAGCTAAATACCATTTGCGAAAGACTAACAGATTTATTATCATATTTAATCACATATCTTGTCCTTATGTCAACACACAGAAAGTGTTCAATATTGTAACATAAAAATCTCAAATAAATGTCATAATAATAAATAGGTTTATCCTCTTCCCATTAAACTAGTATAATAAATCTCAAAAAGGTGAATGAATTGTGTAAAAAGTGTGCCAAATTTGTATTTGACACGAGTAAAGAGGTGTGATGAAACAAAGTGTATGAGATTCTGTTTCTTGGAACACAGCACAAGAGATTCTGCATACATGTAACCACAACAACCAAATATCCCCTTTTGAGGATATTATGGAAGATCCACGTTTACAGTAATCAATAATCATGAGCAAAATGGAAATTTATCAGCCGATCATGTGCTCCTAACCTCATCAAAGGACATAACAAGAGCATCGTTTCTTGTTGCTTCTAACACAATGACTTGCATTGATGTTTGAACCAGGTGGGATGAAAGGGAGAGATATAAGATTGAATAAATATAGATGAAATCAGATCAAATCTTTCAAAAATCAGTAACTTTGTTAAAAAATTGATAAAACTTTATATGCTTTTAAATTCAGAAGTAGTAGTAAATGTATGTTTCTTGTAAAAAAAAAAAAAGCCACTTCAGATACTTGACGCCTCTCCCAGTATCAATCTGACATACCCCGGGACTGTCATTTTGATCAACACCTTCCTGACCCTACCTCTTCAATACACACATGATCAACATTTTGTGTTCATCAGCATGTCAACCTGCTGGACATCTGGCTGATATCTTGTGTTCATCATAAGGTCCAACTGACAGATATATGGCCAGCATTGTGTGGACATCTGGATGACATCTTGTATCCATCATAAGGTCCAACTGACAGATATATGGCCAGCATTGTGTGGACATCTGGATGACATCTTGTATCCATCATAAGGTCCAACTGACAGACATATGGCCAGCCTTGTGTGGACATCTAGCTGACATCTTGTGTTCATCATAAGGTCCAACTGACAGACATATGGCCAGCATTGTGTGGACATCTTGTATCCATCATAAGGTCCAACTGACAGACATGGCCAGCATTGTGTGGACATCTAGCTGACATCTTGTGTTCATCATAAGGTCCAACTGACAGACATATGGCCAGCCTTGTGTGGACATCTAGCTGACATCTTGTGTTCATCATAAGGTCCAACTAACAGACATATGGCCAGCCTTGTGTGGACATCTTGTATCCATCATAAGGTCCAACTGACAGACATGGCCAGCATTGTGTGGACATCTAGCTGACATCTTGTGTTCATCATAAGGTCCAACTAACAGACATATGGCCAGCCTTGTGTGGACATCTTGTATCCATCATAAGGTCCAACTGACAGACATGGCCAGCATTGTGTGGACATCTGGCTGACAGCTTGTGTTCATCGTAAGGTCCAACTGACAGACATACGGCCAGCATTGTGTTTTCATCAATATGTCAAGTGAACAGTTCTAGACACTGTCAGCAAGTCCAACATACTTCATTAATGAGTGCTTTTCATATTGCACCTTAAAGTGGACCTGATATTTCATTTACATGTTTTACCAAAAAACAATGATTTTGAGATTTTAGCTCTAACCCAATTCAATACATTGATACATAAAAATTCTATTGTAAACGTGGTATACATGAATTGGTTACTAAAATAAGATCACTGCAACATAACATCCGTATAAAATATGAGACTCTCCCAACACATTTACTTTGAGAAAGAAAAATATGATAAAATCACTATTATAGTGCACATGACATATATTAACTAAACCTATTACAGAAGATCACAGCTTATGGCCAGCCACAGCTAATCAAGGTAACAAAATGATATCCACTTAATACCCTTAAATCAGTACACTCTGTCCTTCACAGGATAATTTGCACCTGTAAAGGAAAACCATATCAAACCAAACAGACTGGTTTTTTTTTTTTTTTTTTTAAACTTATTCACTTCATGTAGCTATAAAACAAAATGATTTCTTAAAAGTATTTAAAAGATATATATTGTCTTCTCACAAAATATGTGCTTTCAAAAATAGCTTGTCCCGAGTTTTATATCATCCATAAAGATATTTAGATCTTAACACTTACAGATTCAAGACAGATTTGATTATAAACTAATAAGTGGGGAAGTGATCCATCAATATGAGTAATAGAATTTTTGGGGACATATATCTATAAATATTTGAAATTGATTTATTTTAAATTTCATTGCAAAATACTAGCTTGAAATTGGATTAAATGACCTAATTATTTTTTTGCTATTGAATTATCAAAAACGTCAACTGATCAAAATACATCAATTTTTTTATGCTCTAAAATCACTCCATGTAATATATATTGAAAATGAAAGTGAGTGGAGAATATCCAGGAGACAGGAAAAAGTAAATACCTATGTAAACCTAAAGCTTAACCTTCAAAAAAATCTACTCATTTTTCAGACCCACAGTCTCTCTTCAGTGTAACTGTTACAAATTTGAGTTACTTCCCTTTGACTGCAGTGAGTTGAAATATTTTGGTGTTGCAACAATAGTAAGTAATTCTGTCAACAAACTACGATGGTAGTCTTAGAAATAATCATTCCATTCCTGATCATCAGAAACAAAGCTGTCGTTGAAAAAATATTAATTTCCAATTCACAAAAAATGTGAAATATTTCTTATCTGGTGTAAATATATCTTTTCCCCACTATGTTTTGAAACATTATGAGTTGCCTTTGGACCTGTATTTCTATCCCTAAGAGGTGTAAGGTTCAATTCCTTCTTTCCCGAGGTTGACTAGACTTTGTGGGCCCTGGGTCAAAGGTCCTGTTTACATATTCATTTGGCCATGAACACATGGTATGAATCCTGTATACATTGATTACGATTTTTTTTACTCAAAAGTAACAAAATGGCTGAACATTCATGTAAATAGGACAATGATATGTCAACCATTTTACGATGTGAAAATTGCTGTATCACTAGATTGTATAGATTCCTAGAGATCGCAGCCTCTACCCCATTAATTAAAATGGCTGCCCACATATTCAGTTAAATTGTAATGGAAGACACATTCCATAGATAAAAGTGGTTGCTAGGCTACAAAGAATGGAAATGTGTTGATTGGTGATAAGAACTGTGAATATATAGAAAGGTCTATGTCACACTAAAATAACATGGAATCAATATTTTAATCCCACTAGAGCAAACATGTGACTTATTTTTTTTGATTTTCTCATTTAGTATACAAACTTGGAAAAAAAATCTGGAACATGATTAGATTTTGTTAAGGAAAAAAAGGAGCTTGGGAACAGTTTTCTTTCTGTGTGAAATGAAGGATGTGTAAATCTTAAAAAAAAAAAAAAAAAGTCAAATATAATGGTTGTGACCCCTTCATCCCTACCAAACAATAATAGGATTTCCCAAAGCTAGTCTACTTTGGTGAAAGGGGATGACAGGGTTACACCAACTATATGTATCCACATTCCACAAATGCACTTTTTTCACAGTATTTACAATCTGTATTCATAAAGCAAAGTTGTGGAAAAAATAAACATCTGTCTATTGTTATTTCTTTTATCAATCAATTCCTGGTCTGTCTTTTGGACAATACTTGGAATTTCATTAGACACAATTGTTTATTTTGACCGTGGACTTTTGACAAATTTTCTACCAAGTGACTAGACAATAGAAGTGGCAGAAGAACAAGCCATGTTCTAACAATGTGGCGTGGAGGCGGCTTGTTCAATGATGGTATTAACATCAAAATGAAGAAATTCTTTTTAAAAAGAAAAGGTTAAGAGGGATAAAGATGAATGTGTGATGGTCTAGAATATAGAAATGAGTCTTGCTATGAGAGGCACATAAACCATGGTAGAAACACTGTACAGCGGGCATCTTAGTTATCTATATGAGAGATGTTTCATTGGTATAAAACATTATATCATCTATTATAATATCTTCTACATTCCATAAATACCCCAAGTGAAAATAATGCTTTCAGATGCCGACATTAAAGTGTGAGAGTAGATGTTGTAAATATTCTGTATTTTTGCACTTCCATCCTGCTAAAGGTGTTTAAAATCCAGTCCATTCTACACCTGACATATCTGTACAAAGTATTGCTAATACATATACGTGATGGTGGGGATATTTGTCAAGTGTACACCATATAACAACTGACAGGTTATCTGCTCTCATCAGATGATACTTTGAGACCATTGCACAATTTGGAGACAGAATATTCAGTTCATCCATGACTTTACTGGGTTGAAAATTTTGGAGACATGAATCTGTGGTGTCAAACACTTTGGAGACCAACTATTCAAACCCTGTGTAAGACTTTTGATAACTGTGGATGATTTTGTTACAGGGAGAATGTGAGACACTACAAGAGGATCAATATTTTCAATCCCATAAGACACGCAGGGTCAGAGGTCAGTGGGTATCAAATTATTCTGCAGTCACCAATTATATAGAGAGACAGGTGTTGTCAGTTAGTACAAGCAATTCAATGTCAGCATGCACAGGGCCAGAAAGTGTACACAGGTTACAAACTCAAACAACTGTAGAGGGTGTTAGGAACATAACGTGTTGAGCAATAACACAATGGCTAAGCCATTTCACAACAGAGGTCAAATGTCGCATTTGACCAATCATATTGGACAATCACACAGCTGACACACATGTTCAGTCAGACCCAATAGGTGAAGATTAACAAATATTGCTCAAAATTCAAGATCTATCCATATGGTACAGTAAGCTAAGGTTAGGAATGATAATATGCTGGGATATAAGGCTTCATCACACCTGCATTCACAATCAACATGGGAACAGACTTAAGTAGGGTAAAAGACTGATATCTGCTCCCCTACAATGAAGTGGAATCCCCCACCGTACAAAAGCAGGTAACTTACTCGATTTAAACAAGACTTAATCATAAACCAATTTTTAACTGACAGAGTTGTCTCCAGATGTACAAAGGTTTGTATAGGAAATGGCACAGGATCACACCAGGCTACTCACTTGGCACATGGTTTAGAAATCTTGTTAATGGATATTCCAGTCATGTACCTTGTTAACTTTAACAAAGGAAGTTGTGTCATCACAAAGAAAAGATGGACTGAAACATGTCACTGGCACAAAGAGGGAAATGTCATTCAAAAATGACAGTTTCAGTGCTTGGTGGAATGATAACCATTCTTTTCTCTTAATTAACACTTTTCACATTCGACATATCCTGTATTAGCCTAGGTGAAATATTTTGTCTCAGCCTTAGTGAAAATAGGTCTAACATATTTTGCTTTGAAGACATTATAAGTAACATTTTCTAGCTTCAACTAGGTGATGTAACCTGCTACCAAACACAAAGTCAGCAGTAAAATGGCATCAGCGTAACTACCATCATATACACAATTAAGGGAGACAACTCTATCAATGACACTGAAAAGATTAAGATCCAAGTTTCAAATCCTGAAGCCTCAGGATGTTCCTGCCTTGGTCTTTAATTAGTGGAGGCTTTCCAATGTTAGATTGGGCCATGATGTTGCTAAGTGGCAAACTGGTTGCTAAGTAACAAACTTTGGTTGCTAAGTATCAAATGCCATGTCTTATCACCTTTCACCTTTACAATCCTTAGCGAACCGTCACCATAGTAACAAAACATTAAATTATTCTTTTTCGCGGACACACAGCAGATGACGAATATCACCACACTTGCACTCCCTCCTCACCACCTATAACACTATAGAATTAACCAATGTCTGCACAACATTAGAAAACAAGACCAAAAATTCTCAACTGAAAAAAGGTTGTGTGGGGTCAAAGGTTGCAGGTCATGGTCAACATCATCATTATCATAAGTTGCACTCATTAAACAATTTTATCATTGATAGATTTATCACTCAATATTTATACTACATACTGGGATGTCAAACAGAAGAAACACAATTTGTTAGTATCCAAGTGGTTGGAGCCTGCCACTTTTGACAGCACTCTACCCCTGTGTGTACTAGATGTCAATACTGGCTTGTTTCATTTGTTGTTGATAATTGGAGTTTCTGGGAGAGGTTCCGTATTTACTGTCTATTGTGTCGCGTTCCCGACCGTATGGGCGGGACCCATGATCTGCCCGTCGGTGATCATAACTATGACCACGTGGTTCACTGTGACCAACATAGTCCCTTCTCCTATCAGCCTTTTCATAACCACTATCTCGATCATAGTCAGCAGATCTGTGATCATGATCATGATGAAGTTTGTCGTGTGATGGGCTGACATCATGATCATGAGAATGTCTATCACGCCCTCCTCCATGATCATAAGAATCATGGTGACTTCCACGCGGGTGGCGGTCTGGTGAATCCCTGCGGTCCATACCGTGTGCTCTGTTAGAAGACATGTGAGCCGGCAGTGTGTTGTGACGCGACAATGGGTTGGGTGAAGGAGGGCCCTGTTGCCGTGGTGACTGTGGCGTGTTGTTAGGAGGATGTGTGGCACGCCAGTATCCCTCCAGGAACTCGGCTAGGTGTTCACAGGCATCTTCTAACTGGTTCTCATCCAGCACAACATCAAACATATCCTACAAAGAAAACACATGATGTATTACCACAAGGCACATCAATGTATTGCAGTTAGTTCTATCGAGCCTCAAGGCATTAATAACCCCATTTAAAAAAAAAAAAAAATTTCAAAAGGACTGGAACATTTTTCTTAAAGAACAAAATATGTATATTGCAATACCTTGTATCATGTGACAATCATGTGACTACTTCTAAATGATACTAGTTACATACCTGACTACATTGGTTTAGTTTATCTGCTGCCACAAGCTGAACATTCATATTCCGGCTCTGGGATTTCCCACGGGATTTGATTAATCGCTGTAGTACCTGTAACAGAGGCATTATGGAAGATATTGACACAGAAACCAGAATATGCCAAAGTCTTGAAAAGTCAGAATTCTGCAAACAAAAGTTTTATCACATAACTACCCTGTTGTCGGCGTGAAAATGCTTATAACATTATTTTTGCTAAGAATAAAGGCACATGTATTATGACTTTGCGGAGTTTTGATTGGCTAAAGGTTTCCATTACTCCTTGGTGTCATCTTTACTTCATGGTGCTCTGTAATGTCACCAAGGACAGAAAATATACAAAGAGAACACCACCACATTTTGTATCAGTCTTATATACTGCTATATTCACATATGTTCAAAATTATCTAAATATGTGATAAATAGAATCTTATATTTGTTTCCACTTCACACAAGATTTAAAAAACTACAATTTTCATTTTACTCCATTGGTAAAATAGAAAATTCTAAAACTTGTCTAAACACTCATATGCCTGGTAGCTTGTGTAAGATCCTTGACATAGACTACATGAACTTCTGGAGTTGAGATACAGGATGGCAATATGGTCTCGGAATGATATGAATGGGATGTCATGTTCTATTGTGTATCTAGATTTTTCGGTTCTCTGCCTAGACAGGTAATACACATGAAAAGTGTGACAGATATAGAATCTACCACAAAAAACATTCTAAATTCTACATTTTAGCACCTTAAAAAACTAACATAATATCATTTAATTGAAGTTTTAATGTTAGTCTGTTAGCAATTGAAAACAGTACATTAGGTTCTTTCCATCAAAAAGCTCACAGGAGCCTTTTATCAGAAGAGTTCTTAAAGCAACTGAGCACTTTGGGACTTACTGAGTAAAGGCCTGATGCAAATCTTACCTTTGGTGATGCAATTTTGACATAAACAATAACAGGAGCTAGAGATGTCTTGGTGAGTTGAGAGGGATGGTTTATAGTGTCACAGTCCAGCACAACCAATTGATGTGACCGCGCCAGGTCAAATATCCGCTCTATTTGAAACTGCACCTCACCTGCAATCCATACAAAAGAAAAATTTTCATATAGCATGACGATAACCAGAAGCTGAATCAGCATGCATCATCTGTTATTTTTGCTGATGACAAACTAACACAGATAATATATATTATTTTCTTAACCATATTACTGATCTTTCAGTCTGTTAAAGATTGTAGTATTTACATCAGACTGTTGAAGTCTGCTTCAACAGAAACAGGGGGATCCTCAAGTTGTACAGTGTGACAGACCCCCAGAATTGTACCGGATTGATAGGGTAATCTCTAGGGTAAACACTGACACGCCCTCACGGCTTACACACTGATCACATGTAAACAGACGTTAAACTTGTCAACCAACCAACCAAATTTAAAGATAATCTTTTCATTCTCATTTTTATTTTGGAGCTTCCCTGTAATTCATTCATTAATGAGTTAAGATTTGACTTCACCGCTACTTCCATTTAGCCCAGCCAGTCATCCAATTAAAAAACAAGAGGCCCATGGGCCTTAACGGTCATCTGACAAAAAGCAAGCCAAACCTAGAAAGTGGGTTGAGGTCATTCATTTGAACAAACTTGGTAGCCTCTCCTCCAAGCATCTTACAGGCCCAATATCAGCACTCATGGACTTTGGCTTGTTGAGAAGAAGTCGTGTGTATATTTTAACAAATTTGACCCCTGTGACCTTGAAAGTGGGCCAAGGTCATTCATTTGAATAAACTTGGTAGCCTTTCCTCCCAGCATGCTACAGACCCAATATCGGCACTCATAGACTTTTGCTTATTGAGATGAAGTCCTTTGTATATTTTAACATATTTGACCCCTGTGACCTTGAAAGTTGTTCAAGGTCATTCATTTGAACAAACTTGATAGCCCTTCAACCCAGCATGCCACAGGCACAATATCAGCAATCTGAGCCTTTTGGTTATTGAGGAGAAGTTGTTTAAATATTTTAACATATTTGGCCCCTGTGACCTTGAACGTGGGTCAAGGTCATTCACTTGAACAAACTTAGTAGCACTTCATCCCAGCATGTCACAGGCCCAATATCTACACTCTGAGCCTTTTGGTTAATGAGAAGAAGTTGTTTAAAGATTTTAACATATTTGACCCCTGTGACCTTTAAAGTGGGTCAAGGTCATTCATTTGAACAAACTTGGTAGAGCTCCATGCCAGTATCCTCTGTGCCAAGTATTAGCCCCCTAGACCTTCTAGTATTTGAGAAGAAGTTGTTTGAATGAAAAGTTTACGCACGGCGGACGGCGACGGATGAAGCACGATGGCTATAGGTCATCTTGACCCTTTGGGTCAGATGACCTAAAAAAAATCTAAACTATTTAAGGCTGTAGCAAACAATTCATAAATTCCTCTTTGGTTGTAAGACCACATCTTCTTTCACAAAACATTCCTTGGCATGAAGGATGTCAAATTCTAAATTTGGCTACATTTCTATAAGTATATAAGTACTTTTTATGTATACTGACCTATCCCAGGGGTTTTTGGTGAAAGCATCCGGTTACCAGGCTTGTTATAGGGATGGCGCTTAGCTAGAGATATATCTGCTGCTACCTGTGTGATTATAATCCTGAAAAAAATTTAAAAGAAATTGTTATCACCTACTTCATCACTTAATTACATTAATCTAAATTATAATTTACCAATCATGATGAAATACACATAGAACATTTGCATACAAGATCTTACATGAGTATGCATTTCCAATGAAATTCTGCATAATTTTTTCATTTTAGCGAGCTTCTGTTTGTATCTGTTTTTTAAGATACAAAAAATAAGATTTGATATACAAAATACTTGAGAAATACAAATGTTGATCCTATACAACAACCTGAAATATCTTCCAGAAAATTGAAAGTCTGCCACACAATCCTATACTAAAGGTAAATAGCCATTTGATGTTTGATATGTCTAATTCTGACAGGACTTACCTTCCTTCAAACCGGTGCTTGAGGAAGTCAAACAGGGCTTTCTGCATCATGTCTGTTACTTCATAACCTTTTAGTGAGGGCCCTATCAACACCACGGGTCTCATGGAAGGCACTACTTCATAGGGCGGGATACTCTCAGACTAAAATAAACAAATAATGTTTAGAATTTGGCGGCGTTTTTTGTTCCCGAGATTTACTGCAACCTGGCAAATCATTCAAACAGTGGCACAATTTTGATTATACACATATTAAGCCTGTTTTTGAAATTATCAGACACAAAAAATTACGATATTTACTGAAGGAGCTAGAGGAATATCCAATCTAGATTTTTACATTTGTTGTAATGGAGTTGGTTTTTCTCAGTCACCTCCAAAGTTTGAAAATCTCGGCCTTTGTCATCATTGCCAAGTCCTAAAAGGTTGAAACACTTGCATGATGCAATTCTAACAATAAATTTGTATTGAAAGGTGCAATTGACTTGTGTGTCTTAGTTAGTGTCCTCCATGCAACATTCAAAGGGTAGGATATGATGTGTGGTACCACTGTAGTCATATGACTAATCAGAATAGGAAAGCTCTTGGCAATTATCAACCGCCTACCCATACAAGAGTTCACAGAGTACAAGTAAACACATTTCATTACTTTGCATACAAAATGGATAACAATGGACACAAAATTTCCCCTGATACAAGGACAGCATATTTCACTAATGAGAGAATATACAAAATTTTGTCTTGCTGTGACCTCTAGAGGACAATCCAAGCTGCATTATTCTTAATTTATGGCGTCTTTTCAACATTTGAATATCAATGCACTTATTATAGATGGACCACAGCAGAATGTCCCAGAACACAGTTGATTATACTCTGACATACACACAAATTATCTCCCTTGGGCTGTACTGGTACAGAGCGGGAACATTTTACTATCATGGATCATCAACAGCAACATCAACATCCATCCTATCTCTCCTGAGATTAGAACATGGACTGGCTGATTCATTGATCTGGACTAACACAATAATGTTGTTGGGTATAAAAGGTAGCATATTAAATGCCAGTGTGTAATGATGACCATAAAAACAAACTGAGCCAGTATGTGAGGTGGTAGTAGTAAGTATTACCATAGTAACGAAGTATGTCACTATCTGGTATACTTTGTACACAGTCTCAGGGAGGGGAAAGAAGAAAATTGCTAAGAAGGCAAACTATTTGAAGGAAAGCATAACCTTTGATTTAGTGGTAGTTATAAGTAAAATTTGACCTAAACAGCAGTAATTACACTGTACAACAAAAGGCTGACCTCTGATCAGGTCGGTGATGGACCTATGCTATTTTATAATGGACCTACTTTACTGTAGCATCACCCAAAAATCTACATTACGACACAAAATAACAAATCCACACAGGACAACATTCCATTTCTGATACAATGTGGTGCATTTCTGGAACTTCAGGCAGTACATCATCACACACATTTATCAAACTCCCTGTACAGGTCAACAGTTTAAGTGGCAATTCATATTTATCCTATTTTCCGGACTATAAATTACACCTGAGTATAAGCCGTAGAAGACACACCAGGATATAAGCCACAACCTCACTTCTGATGTGGTAACCATTATGCGGACCAAATTCGTTGATATAACAGACAACAGAAGGCAATTTATCAAGATCGTCAGTAAAACATTGATGTGTTTGAAAAACGTAAAATAGCAATTATCGAACTTGTTTGGCTTGGGAGCCTTCAAAGATTGTCTACACACAGATATAGGGCCTGACATTACGTACTGTTTACTGAAGAATATCTCCATCTGTGTCTGTACTGATACATAATGGAGAAGGCCCTTGCATGCTGACAAAATTTCATAGTCCGATATCATTTCTGGTAAATTACGCAAAGCCATTCTTAAATAAACAAGCAAGGCAGTCATTCTAGAATTTGAACCGATGACCTATCTATCCCAGGATGCAACAGGCTAATGTAAATTTCCACTATGGCTTCGTAAGCAACCATGAAAGTTAAGAAGATATTGTGATTCATATTAAAAAGTATGATTAATTAAATCCAGGAGATTGTTATTGCAAATGATGGTTTTAGACAATCTGTTTCAGTCACAAGCAAGAGATGGACAGATTTGACAGCAACCAAAACTATCAGGGTGAAAGGTCACACAGGTCAATAGTAATATGCCTCGACAAAATGGCCAGAAGCATGTCCAGGTGACACTCTTCATTAATTTTTCATTGTGTCAATTTTTTTCGTCCACATATAAGCTGCAGGGATATATAAGCCGCTAGCCTGACTGCCGAGGAAAAAAGCTGCAGCTGATAACCCGGAAAATATGGTAGTCATTTTTTTTAATCTGCCTATCCATATAGCAACTGTACAGTGTATAAGAACCAGATCAATCTCTCCAACAGTTTTAGACCTCCTCCTCATGGTAAACAGTAACGGCACAACCGAAAAACAGTAACAGCACAACAGAACAGAATATCAGAATATTAGTTATTTTTATAATCTTTGTACATAACCTATTAACATGGAGACTTTAACATGGAGTCTTTTGAAAACCGTTTCAAGCTGTATCTCATTACTGTGTAAGGACGCAAAAAAAATGTCAGAATCTTAAAGAACTTTAGACAAATTCTAATGTTTACTTAATTCAGGATACTTGCTGAAATATCAGAAGTAGCATCAACTCAGTGCTAAAGCACAATAGTCCTTTTGAAACTCAAAGATTTTCATGAATTATACAATACCTACCAAATTTGTCTCTCTACAACCACAAATTCTAAAACAAATCAGAAAATCTTACGAATCTAAAAAAAACTAGAATAACCATTAAGATATGAACCTATGTAAATCAGAATCTGATCTGGTAGAGAACATAACGTTATGATACTGTATAGGGTTAATATGAACCAAATCTGTTGAGAAGTTCAAAGAAATGACTCTGATTTGGTAAGGGGTGTAAACAGACAGGAGGATATGAGTAACTTGAACACAAACATCAACCCCGTAAAAAACCTGCCTTAATCTCATTCACTTCCAATCTTACTGTAGAAGATGAGAGGTTTCCTTTCTAGACTAAGCAAGTGGGAATTTCCCTTTAGTCCAGCAGGGAAGTGTTCAACTAAAGACCAAATCTTTACTGGTGTTTTTCATTACTCCTTACTATCACATATTTGGTGGCACAAACTAGTACAAGGGTAGAAGCTACAAGAATGTGAGATGGTACTTTAGATATCAGACCTGGGCTATCAAAGTCATTTCTAGACTTCACAAGTGGGAGTTTTTCTTTAATCAAGCAGTAGAGTGTCTGGCTGGTGACTGATGGTCACCAGTTTGAACCCCAGTGGTGGAAAGGCGTTTTTATCACTCCTTCCAGTACAATACAAAATGGCAAGGTAACATTAATCTGGAAAACCTGACTTACTGCTCTTTCATCTATGATAATGGTATACAGTCAGTCAACCTAATCAACCCACCTTCTTAAAGAAAGGTTTTTTCTTTTCCTTCGAGGGAGGTGTGACGCTACTCTTGCCCATCTTGGAGTTGCCAACGCTGTCGCTGTCCTCACCCATTGTACTCTCAATACCATTTTCCACATCTGTAACATAGTGAAGAAACCCTCATGCAAAAAGAAAAAAAAAAACATATATCCGCTTAAAAACAGTTTCTCAAATTTCCGTACCAAAAACTAGTATGAGATAAAAAATGAAAAGATTAGAAAAAGGTTTTATTCTATAAGTATAACAAAGTACGCCACCTTGTGTGTATTTACACCAGGATTTGTTCTATTCTATAAGTATAACAAAATACGCCATCTTGTGTGTATTTACACCAGGACTTGTTCTATTCTATAAGTATAACAAAGTACCCCCATCTTGTGTGTATTTACACCAGGACTTGTTCTATTCTATAAGTATAACAAAGTACGTCATCTTGTGTGTATTTACACCAGGACTTGTTCTATTCTATAAGTATAACAAAGTACCCCCAACTTGTGTGTATTTACACCAGGACTTGTTCTATTCTATAAGTATAACAAAGTACCCCCACCTTGTGTGTATTTACACCAGGATTTGTTCTATTCTATAAGTATAACAAAGTACCCCCATCTTGTGTGTATTTACACCAGGATTTGTTCTATTCTATAAGTATAACAAAGTACCCCCATCTTGTGTGTATTTACACCAGGATTTGTTCTATTCTATAAGTATAACAAAGTACCCCACCTTGTGTGTATTTACACCAGGACTTGTTCTATTCTATAAGTATAACAAAGTACCCCCATCTTGTGTGTATTTACACCAGGACTTGTTCTATTCTATAAGTATAACAAAATACGCCATCTTGTGTGTATTTACACCAGGATTTGTTCTATTCTATAAGTATAACAAAATACGCCATCTTGTGTGTATTTACACCAGGACTTGTTCTATTCTATAAGTATAACAAAGTACCCCCACCTTGTGTGTATTTACACCAGGATTTGTTCTATTCTATAAGTATAACAAAGTACCCCCATCTTGTGTGTATTTACACCAGGACTTGTTCTATTCTATAAGTATAACAAAATACGCCATCTTGTGTGTATTTACACCAGGACTTGTTCTATTCTATAAGTATAACAAAATACGCCATCTTGTGTGTATTTACACCAGGATTTGTTCTATTCTATAAGTATAACAAAATACGCCATCTTGTGTGTATTTACACCAGGATTTGTTCTATTCTATAAGTATAACAAAATACGCCATCTTGTGTGTATTTACACCAGGATTTGTTCTATTCTATAAGTATAACAAAGTACCCCCATCTTGTGTGTATTTACACCAGGACTTGTTCTATTCTATAAGTATAACAAAATACGCCATCTTGTGTGTATTTACACCAGGATTTGTTCTATTCTATAAGTATAACAAAATACGCCATCTTGTGTGTATTTACACCAGGACTTGTTCTATTCTATAAGTATAACAAAATACGCCACCTTGTGTGTATTTACACAAGGAGTGTATTTACTTTGTTCTATTCTATAAGTATAACAAAGTACCCCCATCTGTGTATTTACACCAGTGTATTCTACAAAATACCAGTGTGTACTTGTTCTATTCTATAAGTATAACAAAGTACCCCCATCTTGTGTGTATTTACACCAGGATTTGTTCTATTCTATAAGTATAACAAAGTACCCCCATCTTGTGTGTATTTACACCAGGACTTGTTCTATTCTATAAGTATAACAAAGTACCCCCACCTTGTGTGTATTTACACCAGGATTTGTTCTATTCTATAAGTATAACAAAGTACCCCATCTTGTGTGTATTTACACCAGGACTTGTTCTATTCTATAAGTATAACAAAGTACCCCCACCTTGTGCGTATTGGTACATTATTAATATATACTTATATTTAGCAGGTGTGATTTAACTTTGTTTACAAGCTTTCGCTTTGGGAATCTTCCCTTTAGCCTAGTGGTAGAATGTCTTCTTACAAAGCCAAAGCTTTCATATTTGGTTAGTATATCTCCAATTAGATATTTCTGGACTACATTTCATAGGTTTTGAATAAGTTAACTGCTACAAAGTGTGACTTTGACCTTACCTGGTGTGGGAGGTGTGGAACCACGAGAATTAGACGAAGGGTTTGTACCTGTCCCGCCTGTTCCCAACAGGCTCTCTATATTGGAAGATGAGGGTGTTTTACTGTAAAATAAAGTCTTCACTTAATACACAATGGACACAGTTAAAAATATGGTTTGTATGCAAGGAGTCAAGTAAAATGTTGAAATTTCTGATAATATATGCGAGTTGAATAAAACATCGAAAGAATAATTATCTGACAATCCACATCTCTTTCTCTATAGTGAAAACTACACTGAACTAAAACGAGTAAATTTTCACTGAACTAAAACGAGTAAATTTTCCACTGAACTAAAACGAGTAAATTTTCCACTGAACTAAAACGAGTAAATTTTCACTTTAATGATATCATTGTGTTGTGTTACTAATTTTGAACACAAGGACATTCTAACAGTTGAACAAAAAGTGTAACTCCTTCTACAGATATAAAATCAAAGTCTGTGACAAAGTGAAAATTACTACAAGCTTCCCTTTCTTCATCTCCTATTTTTTTCTATGACTGAATAGTGAACAACTTGGCAACCATGTAAAAAACTGTTTAAAGCCTTATAATTCAAAAAAAAAAAAAAAAATCAAATGTCATTGCACTATTGAAATGGAAAATGGCAAAGTTCCAACACAACTCAGAAGCTTGGTGAGATTGTTGGAAATGTTCCAGGTACTAGAACATAACTCGCCATCTTAGAATTCACACCCAAAACTCATCACTATTACTGAGCCCAGCTGATATCTTTCTTTGAACAACTGTTGCTTAAAATTGGAAACCTTTGAGAGTTGGATCTAGGTAAATCTTTAATGCAGCAGAATATGAGAAGAATCGTTGGACTTTTAGAGAATCACCCTTATTTAAAGGAGGTAAAGAGTGACCCCAACTCTACAAAAGAGGTACTAAAGTAGGATTGTGAGATTGGAAACTCTGGTCCTACAGTAAATATTGACTGGCATCGAGGACTGGTTCAACATAACATTATGCGATAGCTGTTGTACATAAAAGATTGCTGATTCTGGACCTAAAGTACTAAGACAGGTAGACCTTAGGACTGGTCCATTACAACATTACGTAACAGCTGTAGTACACAGGAGATTGCTGTGGCCCTGGACTGGTCCAACTCAACATTACGTAACAGCTGTAGTACACAGGAGATTGCTGTGGCCCTGGACTGGTCCAACACAACATTACGTAACAGCTGTAGTACACAGGAGATTGCTGTGGCCCTGGACTGGTCTAAAACAACATTACGTAACAGCTGTAGTACACAGGAGATTGCTGTGGCCCTAGACTGGTCCAACTCAACATTACGTAACAGCTGTAGTACACAGGAGATTGCTGTGGCCCTGGACTGGTCCAACACAACATTACGTAACAGCTGTAGTACACAGGAGATTGCTGTGGCCCTGGACTGGTCTAAAACAACATTACGTAACAGCTGTAGTACACAGGAGATTGCTGTGGCCCTGGACTGGTCCAACACAACATTACGTAACAGCTGTAGTACACAGGAGATTGCTGTGGCCCTGGACTGGTCCAACACAACATTACGCAACAGCTGTAGTACACAGGAGATTGCTGTGGCCCTGGACTGGTCCAACACAACATTACGTAACAGCTGTAGTACACAGGAGATTGCTGTGGCCCTGGACTGGTCCAACACAACATTACGTAACAGCTGTAGTACACAGGAGATTGCTGTGGCCCTGGACTGGTCCAACACAACATTACGTAACAGCTGTAGTACACAGGAGATTGCTGACTCCCACAGCCTGACTTCATGTCCACCCCCATTGCTTAGCCTTTATTGGGCATGATATAGAAACTTAATTTCCTTTGTGTCCCCGTCAACTGGCAGTGACGCAAACAGCCGAGTAATTGGCCACAAATAGCTTGTACTGACACCTCCCCACACCGCATTCTACAGCTCGCCTATATAAGGCATCAACTTATAACCACTTAGCACTTGCCAGGCTAAAAGCGGCTACAGTGACGATCAAGTCCTACTACTTTGGAAGTTTTAGTATATGTATTCATCAATAATAATAGCCTTATGCCAGCATATGAGATTTCCATATTGTGAAATTTGCAGGTTAATTTGACATAAACCCAGGATTTTTTATGGTGACCTCTTACCGTTATGGAATATGTCCATCCCGTTTTAGAAGGGTAAAAGTTTTACGACTACATATATGACGCCTTACTGAAACACTGACACAGTTGTATACTGACATACATCAAGATAATCTCAGAAATATCATCTCCCTAGTGAAACTGATGTGTGAGATTAATAACTATTTTGCTAGAATTTAGCTTTCCTGTGACAGCAAGGGTCATGTAAGGACAGATTATCTTAGATATACCTAAAACACAATCTTTCACTCAAGGCATGTACTCCAAACTAAAAATATCTCCTTTTTTGTATAAAAAAAATCTTTTCGTGATGCAAATGAAGAGATGCTTATTTATCTTATTAATAATCTGATTATTACATGACAAAAAGAAGACTAAACTTAAGAACAGTGAGATTTATTTTTAACTCTTTGTTTCTGTACTGCATTCAAATTTCTGTTATGATATCTGCTTTGAAATACAGTGCAATCGCTCATAACTTGACAGGACGTATGAATGTTCATGTATTCACTGTGTCACTCACAAGTAATTTATTTTTCTTTTCATAACTTTTCATAAATTTTGTTATCAGTGTAAACAACCTGACATAATCCAGCCAATTTCAGAGTATTTTGTTGTCAGTGTGAACAACCTGGCATAATCCAGTCAATTTCAAAGTATTTTGTAGTCAGTGTGAACAACCTGGCATAATCCAGCCCATTTCAGAGTATTTTGTTGTCAGTGTAAACAACCTGCCATAATCCAGCCAATTTCAGAGTATAATCCAGCCAATTTCAGAGTATTTTGTTGTCAGTGTAAACAACCTGGCATAATCCAGCCAATTTCAGAGTATAATCCAGCCAATTTCAGAGTATTTTGTTGTCAGTGTGAACAACCTGACATAATCCAGCCAATTTCAGAGTATTTTGTTGTCAGTGTGAACAACCTGACATAATCCAGCCAATTTCAGAGTATTTTGTTGTCAGTGTGAACAACCTGACATAATCCAGCCAATTTCAGAGTATTTTGTTGTCAGTGTAAACAACCTGGCATAATCCAGCCAATTTCAGAGTATTTTGTTGTCAGTGTAAACAACCTGGCATAATCCAGTTTATTTCAACGTATTTTGTTGTTTTCATAAATGAATATGCTTGAAAAACATAAAAACATGAAGATTATCATCATTATACTATGACTAATACATTTTTTCTATTACAGAAACTTTCCATCAACCAATTCCTATATATGACTATATATGCCTAACTGGCAAGTCAATGCACAAAAATATTTCATAATGTCACAAAGGAAAGAAGACACATTTACCATGATATATAAAGATGTTATAAAGGATATGGGTGCACTTATTTGTCTCAAGACATCATGAATACAAGAAGAGTTCAAAGGGCCTGATTGGTTACAAAAATTCCAGTCTTATGTCAATTGACAATGAGATATCCTACCTTAAGGAAATGACAATATAAGAATCAACACTGGTATTTATAGACATTTGAAATTTGTATGAACTTGCAAATGATGATAAACAGTTTAAGAATATGCAGCAATGATTCTCCTGAAAATTCCCCAAAACCTTGCCAGCAGCTTCATTTTAGAACAGCCAAATTCATCCCAGAGACATTTTGATTGATAGAACACTAATCTAGTTCGAGATATACAACAAAACATTTGCAGTGGAATCTGCTATTTTTTTTCTGTTATATTAAACATAAACCATCCAGTCTCAGGCAGCAAAGGGCTCACTCAATGTAACAAATAACAGATTGTATCTGGTTTGCCTCAGGTTTAACGTCTAAGAAACAACTGAGGTCACAGAGGACAGGCGTCAGAGAGGACTACACCAGAGACAAACACACAAGTAAAGAGAGTGGTGGGTTCATGGGTGGACAGACAGGTTGGAGTTGGGTACTGGTGGGTTCATGAGTGGACAGACAGGTTGGAGTTGGGTAGTGGTGGGTTCATGGGTGGACAGACAGGTTGGAGTTGGGTAGTGGTGGGTTCATGGGTGGACAGACAGGTTGGAGTTGGGTAGTGGTGGGTTCATGGGTGGACAGACAGGTTGGAGTTGGGTACTGGTGGGTTCATGGGTGGACAGACAGGTTGGAGTTGGGTACTGGTGGGTTCATGGGTGGACAGACAGGTTGGAGTTGGGTAGTGGTGGGTTCATGGGTGAACAGACAGGGTGGAGTTGGGTACTGGTGGGTTCATGGGTGGACAGACAGGTTGGAGTTGGGTACTGGTGGGTTCATGGGTGGACAGACAGGTTGGAGTTGGGTACTGGTGGGTTCATGGGTAGACAGACAGGTTGGAGTTGGGTACTGGTGGGTTCATGGGTAGACAGACAGGTTGGAGTTGGGTAGTGGTGGGTTCATGGGTGGACAGACAGGGTGAAGTTGGGTAGTGTTGGGTTCATGGGTGGACAGACAGGTTGGAGTTGGGTAGTGGTGGGTTCATGGGTGGACAGACAGGGTGGAGTTGGGTAGTGGTGGGTTCATGGGTGGACAGACAGGTTGGAGTTGGGTACTGGTGGGTTCATGGGTGGACAGACAGGGTGAAGTTGGGTAGTGGTGGGTTCATGGGTGGACAGACAGGGTGAAGTTGGGTAGTGGTGGGTTCATGGGTGAACAGACAGGGTGGAGTTGGGTAGTGGTGGGTTCATGGGTGGACAGACAGGGTGGAGTTGGGTAGTGTTGGGTTCATGGGTAGACAGACAGGGAGGAGTTGGGTAGTGGTGGGTTCATGGGTGGACAGACAGGGTGGAGTTGGGTAGTGTTGGGTTCATGGGTAGACAGACAGGGTGAAGTTGGGTAGTGGTGGGCTCATGGGTGGACAGACAGGGTGAAGTTGGGTAGTGGTGGGTTCATGGGTGAACAGACAGGGTGGAGTTGGGTAGTGGTGGGTTCATGGGTGGACAGACAGGGTGGAGTTGGGTAGTGTTGGGTTCATGGGTAGACAGACAGGGTGAAGTTGGGTAGTGGTGGGTTCATAGGTGGACAGACAGGGTGGTCTTGGGTACTGGTGGGTGCACAGGTAGACAGACAGGGTGGAGTTGGGTAGTGGTGGGTTCATAGGTGAACAGACAGGGTGGAGTTGGGTGGTGGTGGGTGCACAGGTAGACAGACAGGGTGGAGATGGGGGTGGTGGTAGGTCAGCAATTGTAATTAATAGTATTTATGGGATGCATGGTCACAGATAAGTGGGAAAGTAGAAGCATGATAAGGTCACACTAGGAATCTTTTATCTATATAGATGTACCTGCCAAAACTCCAAATTCAAACACCATTTTCCAACATGCTACAGAGGTGGATAACAAAGTCATTCAAAAAGATTCTGGATTATATCTTAACACTTTTCTAGTTTTATACAAGGTTTTATTTATATAAACTGATTTACTGGGAGAAAAACACAAGACATGCTGTATAAATGATGGAGCACTACTTACTTGGAGTAGACCTTGGTGGGCCGACCTCCACTACTACTGGGCTGGACCTTGAGGTTTTCCAGCTTGGCAGGGCTGGGTATAAAACCCACATCACAGCCTTCCAACACCTGTCTTCCTATCCACCACTCATTGTTGAATTTCTACATAAACAACATTATTAACATCATCAAGATGATACAAAATAAACCATTTCAAACAGGTAAAATACCTGTCAAAACAAAACAATAAAATTATTTCCAGACAAACAGAAGGTCACAGCCCTCTAACAGGAATAGAGCTTTTTCATAAATTACAGTGATCACAAACTAATGATGAGACGATAATCGTTTGTAATGTTTCATAATCAATCATTGGTACCTCAATATTTTCTTGCGTTTCAGCAAAAACCAAATTTTTTAATGTACATAATACACATGCCATTTGCCAACAAAATTCATTCTTAAAATGCAAATTCAAGGTAAGGCATTGATGTTACAACAAATGGAAATACTATTGCAACGGAGAATGCATTCACTTTATGAATGTTGAACAAAGGTCAGCCAATTATGTAAGGGATTAAGTACATCAAAGAGGCTATCCAATTTCAACCAATAATCAATGTTGGATTTTAAACAATTTCCCATCTCTATCATTAGTTTTTTCACCAGACTGTTGTTTCCTCTAGCTACGTATTAATTTATTCCATCTTACAAAACAGCCCAAAACTAAATACCTCAAAAATTACAAATTTTGCCTTGTATCAGAGACTTGAATGTTGAGATCTCCACTTATAAATCTTTCATTTTGTCTCAAACATTATCATATGCATACATTTCGTAAAGAAAAATTACTTCAAAATGTCCTACATTGTTATTACTAGTCATCTAATAATGACTTACCTCTTTTATGTGGAGAAAATCTTTGACACCGAAAGACACTGCATGCCCATGGGCTGGGCACTCCATGTCCTGTGAACCCTCGTAAGCCACATTGGTACGAACTGCAAAGGCCACTGGTTTGGACTATTTATAGAGCAAGAAGAATACTAGAGAGTGATGGTATCATCTACATATTATATATATATATCTTTATACAGAGCTAGAATCAACATTCATATATATAGCAGTATATAGAGAGAATACATGGCCGGTGTCTTAAAACATAAGCTGTACTTTGGCAAGGGTGAAGAAAGACAAACATTGCGAATCTCTCGCGAGCCACTTTTGTCTTACTGACTCTTGTCTTTCTGACATGCCAAAGTCTCGCCACTTTTGTCTTTCTGTCCAAAGCCAAAATGTTGCTTACATCTTAAGACACTTCTCCTGCAACACTTAATGAAAATTCAGACTATCACCAGTTTGTTAGGTCTTTTCAATGTTTGTTTCATGGCTATCTGATGTTACGCTGAATCGTGCCTGATGACACACATAACAACAATTACTCCGCAGGGAAAGAAATTTCTATGCTTCAGTGGATATAAAAAAAAAAAAATTGAATTTCCCTTACTAAACCTGTTTGTTACAACAAATCAAACAGCTTATTCAAACAGTTGCTCATGTCTTTAAATGAAATATCAAAGTAAACCAGAAAATAATTCTGTAGAATTAATGCAAGTATATAAATACAGGCGTTTTCTGTCACTGCTGGATACAGCTAAAATGACAGCGTCAGTGGCAGGAAAAATAGTGACATGGCTATATGTGTTACATTTGTGGAAAACATGAAGTCTGTTATATGGAGTAGTCCTATTACAATAAATACAGTGGTAGTATAGATCAGGCCCCAGTTGTTGCAAGTGTAGTTATGGTTAACCAATGGTTAGTAAAAACATTCAAATATGAATTAAACAAAGTCAAGAACATTTTTATCATTTCACAGCTCTAGATTTGCTAAGATAAGTCAAATCAATATATTTTGAGCATTAGGTTTGCCTTTATTGCTCTTGTATTTTCTGAAACAACTATTTCATTTTTTCACTTATCAGTGGGTTATCTCAAACTGACCAGTAATTGAGGCCAGTATGCTTCAGAAGAGTATATGGTATTTATAATACTGCAAGAAAGTAGCCAATTATTTCCACAAACATAGAAACATTGAAAGAAACAGAGCCTGTCGGAATTCTCCAGAGAATTTAGAGAAAGAAACAAGAGCCTGTTGGAATTCTCCAGAGAATTTAGAGAAAGAAACAGAGCCTGTCAGAGTTCTCCAGAGAATTTAGAGAAAGAAACAGAGCCTGTCAGAATTCTCCAGAGAATTTAGAGAGAAAGAAACAAGAGCCTGTCAGAATTCTCCAGAGAATTTACAGAAAGAAACAGAGCCTGTCAGAGTTCTCCAGAGAATTTAGAGAGAAAGAAACAGAGCCTGTTGGAATTCTTCAGAGAATTTAGAGAAAGAAACAAGAGCCTGTTGGAATTCTCCAGAGAATTTAGAGAAAGAAACAGAGCCTATTGCAATTCTCCAAATAATTCAGACATAAAATAGACCCTGTCAGAAATTTTCATGGAATTCTGGGAAATGAAACAGACTTAAAGCCATTATGAATATGAGAATATATGACTTTCACATCAAATTTTCAGAATACCTAGATCTCAACACTGTACAGAAACTGTCAGTATCTGCCCAAGCCAGACCTTTGCCTGTCTCACCAATGAGAGAATGTGGGTATTGACTGGTGACAGTAATTGTAGGTAAAAATCTTGAAAGCTGGGGAACTATATTCCCACAGCAGAGTCACTAAGTAGCAAAGAGGACATGAAGCCAACATGTCTGCTTCTTATGGTTTTTGGCACCACGCCAAATGGAAAACTAACAAAGATGTTAATCAAATATCATATGCCAATGATTACCTGTAGCCATGACAATATGGTCTTACAAATTTACATAAAATTTAATGTAGTAAAAGCCATGGAAATGAATGCTAGCTGTTGTCTGGTGAGGTCTGACCCAGGGAGTTTGTCCTCTATATATACAAAAACATACCCTTCTTTTAAGTTGAATTCTTGTTTTCTGACCACTTGTCTATTAAGATAAAATTATACTACATCATTGCCAGTAACACAAATACTGAATGTGCAAAGGGAGGTAAGATGGAAGGATACAGATAGGTACTGAATGGTACAGAGGTAAGATGAAGGATACCGATAGGTACTGAATGGTACAGAGGTAAGATGAAAGGATACCGATGGGTACTGAATGGTACTGGGGTAAGATGAAGGATACAGAGAGGTACTGAATGGTACAGAGGTAAGATGGAAGGATACTGATAGGTACTGAATGGTACTGGGGTAAGATGGAAGGATACAGATAGGTACTAAATGGTACACAGGTAAGATGGAAGGATAACGATAGGTACTGAATGGTACAGAGATAAGATGGAAGGATACAGATAGGTAGTGAATGGTACTGGGGTAAGATGGAAGGATACAGATTGGTACTGAATGGTACACAGGTAAGATGGAAGGATATCGATAGGTACTGAAAGGTACAGAGGTAAGATAGAAGGATACTGATAGGTAGTGAATGGTACTGGGGTAAGATGGAAGGATACCGAAAGGTACTGAATGGTACTGGGGTAAGATGGAAGGATACAGATAGGTAGTGAATGGTACAGAGATAAGATGGAAGGATACCGAAAGGTACTGAATGGTGCTGGGGTAAGATGGAAGGATACCGATAGGTACTGAATGGTACAGAGGTAAGATGGGGGATACAGATAGGTAGTGAATGGTACAGAGATAAGATGGAAGGATACAGATAGGTAGTGAATGGTACTGGGGTAAGATGGAAGGATACTGATAGGTAGTGAATGGTACAGAGGTAAGATGGAAGGATACAGATAGGTAGTGAATGGTACAGAGGTAAGATGGAAGGATACAGATAGGTAGTGAATGGTACAGAGGTAAGATGGAAGGATACAGATAGGTAGTGAATGGTACAGAGATAAGATGGAAGGATACCGAAAGGTACTGAATGGTACTGGGGTAAGATGAACGATACTAATAGATACTAAAATGCACAAAGAGGTAAAGAGATTGGTACTAAATGATACATGGGATGACTTACCCGTGCCTTTTGCAGCTGATCCAATGCCTGCCGCACCGTCTCCCGCCGCAGGGCTTCTCGTTCCTCGTCTAGAGAAATGTCGGAGGAAGGCTGACTTATATTGGAGTCTCCTGATCCCTGTAACAGAAAGGTCAAGGTCAGAGGCAAGTAACATCATCATCATCACCATATTATCATCATCATCATCATCATCATTATCGAGATGATTTCTCTCTGACATACATTTCTGAATTCTGAGGTCTCCTATGAAAGGTCACTGGTAGTCTGTCAGATCAAATGTCAAGACATTGGTCACCAGTATATATCCTCATTAATTCTTTTGATAGATCAGAAGATGATTAAGTTTGTAAATCACCTTTGGTTTCCATGTACAACTTATTCCAGATCTAGCAGGCCCTTTTAAAAAGTTAAAACATGTTTACTTATAAAGCAGTCAACATATTATCTTTATAATGTTGCACTCTGCCTTTTTTCAAAGTTCACATGTGTCAGCTGTGTTATGGAAGGTGCTGGGCTATATTAACACAACAGATTAATTTTAATGTGTATTAGCAGACTTTCAGTTGTATTTAGCAAGAACTTCCAATAAACTGTACAGAACAGTTTCATACAATTCTAAAAATTAAGTCCATGTATAAATCAAATATATCAGCAAACCAGTTTAGTTAAAACATTTAATGCAGATTATATTATGTATCCTTAGCAATTTAACAGGACTGCTGGAGTTATTTAAAGTCTGTTGAAGAGACTAACATATATTATCCTGTCGAGAGTGATGGTAGATGTGAAACATACATTTCTCATCAATCATATGATACAGGAACAGTGCGAAAATGTACAGTATTGCATGTGTAGGTAAACTACACATCTACAAGAAGCGAAATTTAATTTTCGTGCCAAGATTCCAACTAACAAACACATCTAGTAAAATTTGCTTTCACCATGGGAACACCTGGATAAAGCTTATTCTATTTCCAAAATTAAAACTGAAATTACTGCCAAAAAATTTGGCTAAGAAATTGTTGAGAATCCCTTTCCTAGTATATTTTTGCTTTCACCATCAAGTTAATAATCAATTGGTTTTAAATTATCAACTATACATATCCTTTTCAATTTTTAGAATATGACTTTTTGACCATACTGTGAAATCATTAATTTTTGTGGGGTTCATATATTTGTTCATTTTGTTGGTACTCTTCGTCAAATCCATATGTTTGCGAATTGCTGAAATTAGTATAAGCAGATTAATTGAGAAATATTTATCTATAAAATCAAGTGTCCGCAAAATAGCTATTTTTTGTATAAAAAGCATAAAAATTAAGCATCACAAAAACATGTGATTTTACAGTATATAAAATACAGAATATCCGACTGTATGAGCTGGATTACTTTTTTACCTTCTATTGCCATAGAGATAATGCTAAATACTGTGAACACAGGGACCATTCTAGGACAAGATTTATAGACTATGCTAACAATGAAGATCTTGAATTTCTTAGAATATACTATATATGTAGATATATGTAGAAAAGCTTAAAATTCTCAGAAAACATTAATTATGTTATTGACCAAGAATTATCCCTGAAACAAAAATTGGAGACAAAATTAATCATGATTTCTGAAATTTAATAAGCATTATACTGATTGTATCTTTTATTTTCCCGATACATGAAAAGACTGAAAAAAGAGGTTTGACACATTCACAAGGAATGTGAACACAGCCCGCTCACATAAATGTTGAGAACATAGTGCTTAACAACACAGAGATCTTAGTGCTAAGTTTTGAGACATATATGAGGTGAGGGAAAGTTCAAAGGACAAGTTTTACAAGATACCTTCATATCACAGACAGGTTACAGCTTTCATCATTTTCTTTTCCAGACACAAACATTGATAAAAACTGCCACAATCTGTCACAGTAAATCCCACCAAAAACATGATAAATGAATCCATTATAATTGTTGTGAGAAGTGAACATGTGTCACAGAATTAAATTTCCGACATGATGCCAGTGTGTACAAGCTCCATGTTGAGGTTTTTACACCTGTCAAGACAGTACAAGTTCTTCTCTACAGTAGAGTAGTGACTGCTGGTCAAGCCTCAGATAATCAATGACCAGTCCAGTTTACTAGTATAGACCTGAATAATATACTATGTCACCACCTGCTCACAATCTCAGGCAGATGTACCAGATCCATGGCCAACCTCCCTCGACTACCATCACCTGTAAAACTGTAGAAGACCTAAGACCTCAGAAGTGGTCAGATCTTTGTATCACTGAGATATATATATAGAACTATGGCCTTGACTTTCACTGCGCTTTACACGGTGTGCATCAGAAGCTAATAAAGCAAATGTATATAATATTAATTAAATCCCACACACTGGTTATACTGTATAACAATCTGCCACTGGGCAGAAGTACAGCAAGCATATACATTAACAGGATACTACAAGGATTCCTCAACAGAGTTATCATAAAACAAGTCTATGTTTAACAAGATATTTCATGTATACCCATCACATAACAAAACACAGTCAAAGCAGCGAGTATTGGTGCCTGCTTATCCAATCAAAACCAGTCATGAATGATGTAGACTGGTGTGTATGATTCAGAAAGCTGCAAACAGTATCGTTATCTCTAAAAAGCCAATCCTGTATGTCACTGACAATGTTACTGTGCGTAAAAAACCAAATTTTGAATTCCATTGTGCAATAAGAATTAATCATCTAGTACACCATTTGATGATTCTACCACAAGATATGGAACCTGACACTCTTCAATTGTCCGAGAACTGTCTGTTGCTATGGTATTTGTAGGAATTACTAGGTACACACATATTGTGTTAAAAAAGTATAAAACTGACAAAGAGGGGACACTTCAAAACGTTTATCAAACTGATATCATCAAATCACACACCAATCAAAGACAGCTTAAACTAAACTTACATCAAAGACAGTAAACAAAACTCGCAACACAGACAGCTTAACTCACATCACTGACATCTTAAACAAAATTCACATCAGAGACAGTAAACCAAATTCACATCACAGCTTAAACCAAATTCAAATCACAGCTGAAACCAAATTCACATCAGAGACAGCTTAAACCAAACTCACCTCACAGCTTAAACCAAATTCACATCAGAGACAGCTTAAACCAAACTCATATCACAGCTTAAACCAAACTCACATCACAGCTTAAACCAAACTCACATCACAGCTTAAACCAAATTCACATCAGAGACAGCTTAAACCAAACTCATATCACAGCTTAAACCAAACTCACATCACAGCTTAAACCAAACTCACATCACAGCTTAAACCAAACTCACATCAGAGACAGCTTAAACCAAACTCATATCACAGCTTAAACCAAACTCACATCACAGCTTAAACCAAACTCACATCACAGCTTAAACCAAACTCACATCAGAGACAGCTTAAACCAAACTCATATCACAGCTTAAACCAAACTCACATCACAGCTGAAACCAAACTCACATAACAGCTTAAACCAAACTCACCTCACACCTTAAACCAAACTCACATCACAGCTTAAACCAAACTCACATCACAGCTTAAATCAAATTCACGTCACTGCTTAAACCAAACTCACATCACAGCTTAAACCAAACTCACATCACAGCTGAAACCAAACTCACATCACAGCTTAAACCAAACTCACATCACAGCTGAAACCAAACTCACATCACAGCTGAAACCAAACTCACCTTACAGTCAGCTTAACCCAGATTTGAATCAGTGACAGGTTAAACCAAACTCACATCACAGCTTAAACCAAACTCACATCACAGCTTCACCTCACAGCTTAAACCAAACTCACATCACAGCTTCACCTCACAGCTTAAACCAAACTCACATCACAGCTTCACCCCACAGCTTAAACCAAACTCACATCACAGCTTAAACCAAACTCACATCACAGCTTAAACCAAACTCACATCACAGCTTAAACCAAACTCAACTCACAGCTCAAACCAAACTCACATCACAGCTGAAACCAAACTCACATAACAGCTTAAACCAAACTCACCTCACACCTTAAACCAAACTCACATCACAGCTTAAACCAAACTCACATCACAGCTTAAACCAAATTCACCTCACAGCTTAAACCAAATTCACGTCACAGCTTAAACCAAACTCACATCACAGCTTTAACCAAACTCACATCACAGCCTAAACCAAACTCACATCACAGCTTAAACCAAACTCACCTCACAGCTTCACCTCACAGCTTAAACCAAACTCACATCACAGCTGAAACCAAACTCACATCACAGCTTAAACCAAACTCACATCACAGCTTAAACCAAACTAACATCACAGCTTAAACCAAACTCACATCACAGCTTCACCTCACAGCTTAAATCAAACTCACCTCACAGCTTCACCTCACAGCTTAAACCAAACTCACATCACAGCTTAAACCAAACTCACATCACAGCTTAAACCAAATTCACATCACAGCTTAAACCAAATTCACACCACAGCTTAAACCAAACTACATCACAGCTTAAACCAAACTCACATCACAGCTTAAACCAAACTCACATCACAGTCAGCTTAAACCAGATTTGAATCAGTGACAGGTTAAACCAAACTCACATCACAGCTTAAACCAAACTCACATCACAGCTTAAACCAAACTCACCTCACAGTTCGCTTAAACAAGATTTGAATCAGTGACAGGTTAAACCAAACTCGAAGCACAGGTCAACATACTGTACCAGTTTTACATGCCAGTCACATTGCTTATTGACTGTGGTCCTGGTGGCCTTAAGGTCTGTTGACACTGTGGAGGCTAGAAAGACACGAAGCCACCGTCCCTGGAGCCCAATCCCTACACATAGCCTGTTTATCCGGCATCTCATCATTTACTCTTTCATTTCATGTTGATTATGTTACACCTTTACAATCTGTCAATAATAGGAAATAACTATGTTGTCTCTCAAAGGGAATCTCCATTGCTGTTTATTCTGACTATAAACCACAATTTTTCCCCATTGATATCGCAGGAACCTGTGGTATAATGTCCAAATGAAGGGGCTTTGTCTATACATGTTGTCTTAATATCATGAAATGCCACTCAT